GCTGCACTCGCGGCAGAATCTGGAGCGTTTGGTGCGCGAGGATTTGATGCAGGAATTCGTGCGTCGGTGTGTGTTCTCGCTTCTCAAAACGTCCCGCGTTTCGGAGCAGCAAATCATTTTGGAGTCGTTGCTGAAAGCGGTGCCTTCCATTCCATCCGTACCCATGACTCCAATGGCTCCAATGGCTCCAATGGTTCCAATAGCTCCAATAGCTCCAATAGCTCCAATAGCTCCATCTATTTCATCTATTTCATCCATTCCTTCATCCATTGAATCCATTGAATCCATTGAATCCATTCCTTCATTCATTGAATCCAGTCCTTCGGGGTCGCTTCGAACCTCCTGGCTTTCCATCGCATCCCACATGCAGGCCAAGAAGTTCAACGTCCGCCTCATTCCCACCATCCTCCAACTCTTCACCGCGGTAATCCAGCGATTCCCTGGCGCGGTGAACGACCTCCCGCTCTATTTTTCCGCGGTAATCGTGTATTGGAAATCGAATTTGGACGCCATTCTCCTCTTCCTGCGCAGCTGTGAGAATTGCCCAGGCTTCGACGAGAGCTATTCCGTGGTTCTCCGGCAGTTCCTCGTCCTCCTCCACGATCACGTGTACTGCGACGAATCGGAACGAATCTCGGTACTTTGAGCGAGCCTTGCCTCCACTCCAGATTTTGCTTCACTTGACGGAAATCGCGGGACATCTGGGTCCGCAGCTGCCTCTCCTTTTCCCCTCGCTGCTCCACTTCGCGATGGACAATGCCCAGTCCTCGGTTCTGCTCACCCTTCTGCTCCACTTCCTCAAAGAACTCATCGCTTCCCTTCCTCTCCGCCATCATCTTCTCTCCGTCATTCCCATTCTCCAGATCGCCGCCTCCAATTCCCCGGGCGTTTTCATCAATGTCTGCGACCTCGTCTGCATGCTCGTCGCTCAAATCGCGGAAATGGACCAGGAGCCCCGCGGGAATCCAGCCGTTTTCACCCTCGCCAATTCGTTCTTCGAACTCGGCGGGATGAACAGTCCTCGGCTCGTTTTCCCCGAATCTCCGCTCCCCCCGCGGGAATCCGTCCTCCCCGAAGACGAGGGAATTGTGTTCCCCGCCAAAGAGGGGCGAAAAAAGGGGCAGAATCCCCGCGAGAATTGGAATGTGCCGAGTTCCGCGGGTTGTTGGTGGAAATGGAGAAACCGGGGTTCAGCGCCGCCCCTTCCGTTTCTTTTCCGCGGGAGTGGGTTGGATGCGGGCGTTTCAACGATGGGGCAGATTGCGTTTCATTTGCTGGACGACTGCTCGCTTCGTTTGGCGGCAAATCGTCAGACCCACGCGGTGCTGGCGCAGCTGAAAGCGATCGTAGAAACTGGGGAAACCTGAGACACAGATCGTACGCCACTTGCAGGAGTTGAGAAGAACCGCGGGAGAGGTGGAAACGGAGGACGGTGGAAACCGTGGAAACCCGTCAGATCGTGGAAACTCACCAGATTGTGGAAACTCATCGAATCGTGGAAACCCTTTTGATCATGAAACCCCGCTAGATCGTGGAAACGTGGAACCCGTTCTGCACGCCACTCCCGATTCCCCGGAAGTTTCCCCGGAAGTTTCCCCAGTTGAGTCGCAGGAATTTCCCCGGTTTGTTTCGGTGCCTTCCCCGCGGTTCTGCCCTGTGCGGCATTTCCCGCGGTTCCGCGTGGCGTACACGAATCACCTCGCTACCACGGTTTCCACGTTTCGTTCGCTGCGCCTCTTCGACACCGCGGTTTTTTCGTCCAACGACGGGAATGTGCCGTCGTTCCCCGCGGGTTCGCCGGCTCGCACGCCGCAGATCGTCGAGTTGTTCGCGTCCCCCGCGGGAGAGGAGTGTTCGTCGTTCGACATTTTCTCGCGGATAACCGCGGATCTTCCGACCACGGAGGTGTGAAGCGATCGGAATAGTGTTCCGTAGATGCAGTGGGAACAATGGGAGCAGCACGTGCTTCTTTTGGTGGTGCGTCACGTGTGTCGCGACGTTTCTCCGTTTCTCCCGCGGTTACACGCCATCGTGCCTTCCCTCCTTCCCTCCCTTTTCTCCGGGAGTTTCCTTCTCTTCTGGCTCCAACTCGATTCTTCCCGCCAACTTTCCCTCCAATCCCGCCTTTCCTATTTGGCGGGAGTTTCACCGCCCCCCGCGGCAACCGTCCTCCTTCTCTGCCTCCAGCTCAGCCTGCTCCACCTCACCCCCGTTTCCCTGATTTCTCCGGTTTCCCTCCCTCTCACCCTCCCCGCGGGGATCCGCCTCGCGCTGAGCCGGAAGCTGGACACGATCGGCCTGCAGCTTCTGGACGCTCTCCCGCGGGAAAATCGGATCGGGGTTTTGTCGGACGCGATCACGATTCTGCGGAGACTGAAACTCCCGCGACGGGCCAATGGGCTGCTGGCCTGGGCGAAACGGTCGTTCCCCGCGGAAGAGGAGGCCTGCGTCATCGCCATGGGGGATTGGCGGGAAATCCGCGACAGCTTGAATTCCCGCGGGGAGCTGTCGGAGGACGAGAGGAAGTACTTAACCGCGGTGAACTTCCATCTCGGCGAATTCGACGAAGTGCTGCGTCTGGCGGGCGTTTCATCCGGCGAGGAGTTTCACCAGTACGAAGTGTGCGCACGACTTTGCAAGGGAGAGCCCTATTCCCCGCGGGACGCCCTGCACGGCCCGGGCGTTTCCTTGCCGGACGACGCGACGATTCTGCAGCGCGAGCGTTTCTTCTTCTATTCCATCGCACAGTTCCTCGCCTGCATCCGGCGCGCCGACACGCGTACCGCGGCTTCGCTGCTCCGCGACGCGCACCGCGTTCTGCTGGTGGATTACCAGGCGCAGCTCCACTCCACGCAGCTGCAGGCGCTTCCGCGGCCCAATTTCCCGCCCGTTCTCAACGAAATTCGACGCGTCCTCCAGCACCCAGAGCGCATCCCCGCGGTTGTCGAGTTCCTCGACACGCTGGAGACACGACCCGCGGAACTGCGAAGGTTCGACCGCGAGGCGCGCCTGCTGCGGAGAATAATCGCGGTTCTGCGGCCGAGACCGAGGGAGAGCGAGCCGTCGCTGCTGGATTTGAAGCGGAGATTCTGCCGTGTGGAGGAGCTGTTTTCCCGCGGGGAGAAGGAAACCGCGGTGAAGGGGTTGGAGGAACTGGAGAAGGCGATCGGGTCGTTCGAGAGGAAGAAATCGGTGGAGAATCTGGAGTTGCTGGAGCTGAAAGAGTTGAGCGCGGATTGTTTTCATTTGCGGTTGAATTGGTGCGCACCCGATCTCAACGCCGAGGGATTCCCCGCGTTTCTGGAGAGCATGAAGAAGCGGCTGCACGCGGTGCCGCGCACGTCGAGCGTGTTCCCGGTGTTTCGAAGCATGGAAACACTGTTCCACCGCATCAACCTGCCCTCCGTCCCCGACGAACAAGTGAAACTCCACGTGGATTTTTTGCTGGAGACGCTGGCGCTCGTCCCGCAGCCGTCCTCGCTGGAACACTTGAATTTACTGCATCACCTGCTTCACTGCATTTCCATCCATCCGAAGCTGGCGCCCTGCTTGGCGGAACGCATCCTATCGCTTCCTTATTTGTTGTGGCTGCCGTTGCTGCCCGTCCTGCTTCAAACCATGCTGTTTTTGTCAAATTCGGCTCCTCGTTCGCCGCTCGGCGAACTGTTTGTTTCGCTCATTACCCACATTTTGATTCATCCACACATCACCAAACGATCCGTGCTCACCTTGCTCCAAAACCCGTTCACTTCGCTGCCCGTCTCCATTCAGGTGCTGCTGAAAACGAGATATCCGCGGTTGTTGAGTGACGCGTTGGTGTTCACCGAGGAGATTCAAAAGGTGTGTCACAACAAATTCTGCAAACTGTATTCTCTCATCCATCAAAGCAAAACGCTCGACGAAGCAAAGTTCGCTTCGATTTTGGATTCCCCGTCGAACGTACGAACGAATTGAATGAATTGTAACAAGCAGAGCAATCTAGATGTGTTTGTCACGAACCAGTTTTCCAATTTCCAATCCGATCCGAATGCATTCCATTATGAATGGGTTTCCATCCCTTGTCTTCGCTCATTCGCAGATTCGAAACGAACTCGAAGTGCAGAAAACGCGCGAAGCTTCGCTGCTCGCCAATTATTCCCCCATTCTTTCGGTATTCCAGAATTCCCCGCTGATTCTCAACGTCAGTTCGGGGGATTGCAGGGAAGTGAAGCAGTTCGACCGAAAAGTAGAATTCCTCTACGAGAAAAAACACCATCATTGCAACCCCATTTTGACCCAATTCTTTTCAGGGGACCCATCGTCCCAATCGTCCCAATCGTCCCAATTTTTAGTCCTTCCCTCCACCTCGTCCCTCCAATCGCTGCACGTGATTCGGCTGTTAAGCGTGCTTCACTCGCTCTCCCTCCCTGACACCCCGCTCGAAATTCCCGCCACCTTGCAGGAAGTTTCATCGTCCATCGTGTTACTCCACTTCACCCCCGGAACAGTATTACTCACCGATCTCCTCGAAGAAGGGCAGCAAATCGCCGCGCATTGGGCGCCCGAACTCAAAATCGAGACGCTTTCGGGTATTCCAAAAATAGGGACTATTTTCGTATAGAGCAGGCGTTTCGTTTGGTGCTGTGGAAGCAGTGCGAAACGGCCGATCGCTGGCTGCAGTGCATCAAAACCTTCACGTCCAGCTTGGTGACTCGCGGATTTGATGCATGGCTCACCTCCATGGGAGAAGTTTCCACGTTTGACTTCTTGATATTCAAGAACACCTGTACATGCATTCCATCGAATTCGATTGTAGGCTATCTGGAGTTCGCCTTGCTCTACAAGGCGTTTCATTTCCTCGATCAAACCCCGATCTTGCGGCTGTCGAAGGCCTGCCAACCGGCGCTGGGGATCGGCAGCGAAGAAGGCGTTTTACCGCGGATGTGGAACGAGCTGACCGGCAGCGCGACGACGCACTTTGACATGGTCATTGACATGATGAACGGCGAGCGGATGGACGGATGGATGGGGAAAACGGGGAAACCAAATGGAGAAACGGGGAAACCAAACGGGGAAACGGAGAAGTGGAGACAAGAAGAGGGAGAGAGAAAGGTCGATTCAAATGGAGAAACGGAGAAACCAAATGGAGAAACGGAGAAACTCGCAGCCGAAGCACCGGAGTCAAGAGAGGAAACGTGGAAATCGATGGAGGAAACGAGCGCGCTGCTGGTGGAAAGCATGCAGAATCGGCTGGAAGCGACGAAAGAAGCGGACTGGCGGTGGATCGAGTTTTGTTAACAAACAAGCGAGTTGTGCTTGAAAGCAAGTTTGGGTTTCTTCAAGTCGAGCGATCGAATCAAGTGGCAGCACTGGCAAACGCGCTGCGAGCAGGGATAGCCGCAGTGCTCGCAGTGGAGTGTGGCATTGTGTGTTCGTTTGAGCGAAACATCCTTGGAAACAAACCAGTCTATTCATTCACACGCGGTTTCGTTCCTACCGCTGCTGCTGATTACGTTCGACACTATTTCCGGGCGAATCAGCTGCGCTTTGGCGAGGAACTGCCGCACTAACAAACATGCAAACACTCAAAAAAAACTACTGTTTCCACGATAGCCGAACTTGGCGTAGCTGCACTCGATCGAGAAGTAAAGCAGCTTTTTGAAATGGGCGTACAAAACGATTTCTTTCTGATAGCACAAGCTTTGATTCATTTCGCGGTTTTTGTCGTTTACCGAAGCGGTTTGCAGCGAGGCGTCACTTCTTTTGCGTTCGATGCCCGCGAATTCGAAGAGGATTCCATCGAATTCGGAGTGGTTTCACTCCGAGGTGCGGAATCTTCTTTCGAATTCGACGTGATTCCTGACGAATTCTGTGAATCGATCGCGTAGCCTTGCCGTGTGAGGCGGTGGATATCGCCTCGGAAAAAGTTCATCAGCACTTTTCATTACAAAACAAACAAGAGAAAAAACCCGTTTCTGCATTGTCGTCCGCGTTGTGACCAGTAGCGATCAAATCGGCATGGCTTCGCTCTGCTCCGATATTCAATGCCTGACGGCGAAACACGCCGCAGTAGCTACACGCCTTTGTATAGCCCGATTCGTCTAGGGTTTGTGTGACAATCTCATCCATGGTGTAACCGAAGAGTTCCTACAATTTGTGTTTAAGCTACAAAAGCCACTTTGTAACTATATATAACCAAAGGAAGCTGGTAATCGATCGAGTTTTGTTTGACGGTTTCCAAAGAACCATCGCGATACCCAACGATTCCTTCATCGATTGATAAAAGATAGAGGTCTAAACCGTAGTCATAACGCTTGTTGAGTGTGGATAGTACGTAGGCAAGTACAGTACTGTCTACAATCGATTCTACACAGTATTACTCACCTTTTCCACCCGAAGCGCCAATGGCGACACGTTGACCTCGTTTGAACATTTTATCCTTCAGAATTGTCTCATGAACCTCTGTTTCGAATAATTCAAAGAAGCAATCCTTGCAAACATATTGACCTGTCTTGGGTCGTTTCAGCTGCGCCTATTTTCTATCTCTACCATCTTTCTCCCCTACCTTCTTCACTTTGCAGTGTTCACAGAACCGAGCCGGCATGGCACCAAGAATTTTCTTTCAACAAACACAGAACTACAGATATTCTTTCGTTTTAGCGATTACAGATGTGGAATGATGGGAGTGATGGGTTTAAACATGATTTTCGCTGGCTTGGGAATCGTTCTTTCCTTCTCACTTTTCCCTCCAACTCCCGATTTTTCATTCTTTTCGTTTCCTCCCTTCGGCTTCGGAGAGACATTGCTTCCTACTTGCGAAGACACAGATGGCTTTGCATTTAACATACTCATCGATTCTTCCAATTTGGGCATCTCGCTAAAGTTCAATCCAATCTTCCGAACTGGCTCTGGAGGCACAATCGCTTTTATTTTTGGCTTTTGCTGCTTCGGATTGGATGTAGCGGAAGGAGACACATTGGAATTGGAATTCGCGTTAACGCCGGCTTTGGCTTTGGCTTTGGCTTTGGCTTTGGCTTTGGCTTTGGCTTTGGCTTTGGAACTAGAACTAGAACCGGGACTGGGATTGGAATTGGGATTGGGACTAAGGTTGGGACTGGGATTGGCATCCCCATTGGCTTTGGCTTTAGATTTGGCTTTAGATTTGGCCTTCGCTTTGGCCTTGGGGCGTGACTTGCGCGATTTCTTTTGGATATCTCCGGAAGCAAGCTCTGGATTCTCCTGGAGAATGCTTTCGAAGAACTGGCGACGCACATTGTCGAGCATTCGCTGGTCGACGGGATCATCGTCCGAGAATGTAATGGGTTTGTATTTCTTTTCCTCGCCCTTGTGGACCTCCTCCGGGTTTTCTAGTTTTTGCTTTGTTTGAAACCACAACGCCGATCCTACCTCTTCCATTTTCAAAAAGTTTCGATAGCTCTGGCTCGTTTCAAGACGATTTCCATTTCGTATCTTGGGGGGACCCGGAATTACTTGACTCGGAGCAGGGAATATACAGTTTGCATCTAGTTGTAACCACATGCGCACAACGACTTTTGAGATTCTCAGCGCCGTATTTCTTCCAACTTTCAACGATTCGGTCTGCAACTCCCTTGTTTGGCAATACCAAATAGCCGCTCGAATAGGGAAGAGAGCTACAACACAAAAGAGGAACAGATATATACAATTGATTTCCTTGCACATAGTACGTCAGAGTGTAGTCTTTGGGACACGTATAATTCCAACTCGCCAAAATGTCTGTGAATTGCTCGCACGTCATTGAGTTAGGTAGTGTTCTCACGACATATCGAGCAGGATATTTCAAGTTATTTGGCTTCATTTCTAAAGACAAATGAACACGATGCAATTGTCTCCCTTTTTGGGAATTCCACAATTTGACCGAAATTTCCCTAATTGCCCTTTTACCATTCTTTTTTTATCAGCAGGTTCGCGAATCGTTCGTTTAGTTTTTACGTTCTACGAGTTTCGATCTTCGATCTTTTTGTTTCGTTGGATGGATAGAGAAAAGGGTAAGTTGTGTGAGCTGGTTTTTGGGAGGTGAGAAGCACCTTAATATCAGGACTCGTGTATTCCGTGACGAGATCCTTTCATGCGGGTGCGAGAGTGTTGTTCGTGTAATTAGCGTGATGTTTCAATTCCCTACTGAGTCTCAGTTCTTGAGGCTCAACCCAGGGTTGCATTTATGTTACGCCAGTCCACTTACGTATATGTAGATCGAGTTGAAGAGACCTAGAGACCTAGAGACGTAGAGACGTAAGGTTTGTAGTGATTGCATGATTGTTGTTTGTTGAACACTCAAAGCCGCACTCATTAAAATTGTATCCTAGTATAAAAGACGTTTATTTCGCTTTCCCCTTCTCGTTGAACTCGATATACAGCTTCAGTAGTTCTGGATTGGTTCTGGCTTTGACGTGTTCCAGTGCCAATCGCAAATGCTTCTGATCGACTTTCTCCGCGTCCTTGTTCTCGCTCAGCGTTGTGAGACACGCGTCCGAGCACACCGCAGCCAGCTCTGCTCCGCTGTATCCTTCCGTCCGCTCCGCGATTTCCTGCGCGTCGACATCATCATCGCAGGGCACTTTCTCCAAATGCACCTCCAGAATCTTCCTCCGCGCCTCCACATCGGGCAGTCCCAAGAAGATATGCGTGTCCAGCCGTCCCGGACGCAGCAGCGCGGGGTCGAGCAGATCGGGCCGATTGGTCGCTGCGATGACGAGAACCTTCCAATCATCCATTCCCGCGGAACCCCACGCGTTTCAGCGCGTGAATCCCGTCCAACTCCGTGAGGAACTGGCTCACCACGCGCTCGGTGACGCCGCTGCTGCTGCCTCGCGCGCTCTGCACGTGACTCTACCCGCGGGAATCCACCGCGAACGCGTCGATCTCGTCGAAGAAAATCACGCAGGGACTGCTGAGCCGCGCCTTGCGGAAGACCGCGGCGACGGCCTGCTCGCTCTCTCCGACGTACTTGGAATACAATTCCGGTCCCTTGACGGAGATGAAGTTCATGTTCGCCTCGGTGGCGACCGCTTTCGCGAGAAGCGTTTTCGAGCAGCCCGGCGGACCGTACAGCAAAACGCCCTTCGGTGGAGAAACGTGGAACCGCGCGAACTGGGCGGTGAAGCGAAGAGGCCACTCCAGGAGCTCGCGGAGCCGCGCTTTTACCGGCTCGAGTCCGCCGATTTGCCGCCAATGCACGTTCGGCGAAGAAATCGAAACCTCGCGCAGCGCCGAGGGACGGATGCGCGGCAATACCGCCAGCACCGAAGAGAAGTCGCTAGGATCGAGGGAGATTCGTGCATCTACAGCCTGGGAACGTCGACCGTTGCATCATCATGATCATCATGATGATCATCATGTTCATGCTCATGATCATCGGTTTGGAGCTGGTTGAGTCGGTAGAGAGTGGATTCGGTGAGAAGAAGCCGCAAATCGGCGCCTGTGAAGCCGTTCGTGTGGTCGGCGAGGTAGTCGCGGTCCGTTTCCCCCAGCGAATTCGGCACATCGCGCAGCAGAATCTTCGCCTGTTTTTTTCCCGCCAAATCCTACCTCCAGAATCGACCGTTTCTCCGCCACCGTGGGTACCTCCACTTCCACCTCCCGGTCGAACCTTCCCGGTCTGCGCAGCGCGGGGTCCAATCCCCGCGGTCTACGCGTCACCGCGGTTCTGTGCGCTCACCGATTGGTCGCACCGATTACCACCACGCGCTCCGCCAGCTGGTCGAACAGCGACAGCAAAAGCGACGCCAGCCGCGCCGTGGCGGGTCCGACGGATTCCCGCGGGGGGCAGAGCGCGTCGATCTCGTCGAGGAAGAGAATGGCGGGCGCGGCGTGGCGCGCGCGGGCGAAAAGCGCGGCAAGGCGACGCTCGGAGTCGCCGGCGTGGTGAGAAAGAAGAAGAGCGAGATTGGCGGTGAAGAAAGAGAGCCGGTACGCCGACACTAACGAGCGAACCAGAAGCGTTTTCCCCGTTCCGGGCGGACCGAACAGAAGGATGCCCCGCGGGGGACGGATCCCGCGGGAGAGGAACGCTTCCGCGTGGAACAGCGAGGCGGACACGAGCTGCTGCAGCGCGCGCTTGGGACCCGAAAGGCCGCCGACCGCCGCGTCCAATACACTGAGGGGCGTTTCATTATTGGTGGAGGGCGTTTCATTATTGGTGGGAGTTTCATTATTGGTGGAGGGAGTTTCATTATTGGTGGGAGTTTCATTATTAATAGAAGTTTCATTTGTAAGTGTGTCATTATTGGTGGAGTTAGTTTCACTATTTATGGGAGTTTCACTATTTATGGAAGTTTCATTGTTATTGATGGGAGTTTCATTCTGGGGGTGGGAGTCGTCCTTGTAAATCAAGGTAATCCCTGTGGATGCCAAAATTTCCCCCAATTTCAGCGGCGCCGGCGTGTTGTCGGGCGTTTCGTCTTGTATGGGCGGGAGAGAAAGGAATAAATCGGTAACGAGGCCGCGCACGGCAATCTACGATTCAAGGACGGGAGTTTCATTACTCCCATGTAGGAAAAAAGAAGCGACTGGCCTTTGAGGCAGTGGCTGCCGAGCAGCTTGAGGAGGATGGAGTGCAGGAGATCTTCGTTGCTGTTTGTTGAACCACGGTCTTTGTTGAAACGGTCGAATTCGCTTCGATTGCAAAACAACTATGCATTACCATGAAATGATCACTGCAGTACTGAGATAACGATTCGGTCTGCTGGGACGATCAGGGAATTCGGAGTGAGACGGAATATTGTAACAGGAGTAATCCCCATCTGGTGCGAAATACACCGAAACAAGGTCTCCGAACACAATACTTCCGATTCCTTCAAACCTTTGTCCAGACGCACAGAGGCAGCTATCCTAAATCGCAGAAAGAAGAACCTACTTGCAAAAATGCGATTTCCATCAACCATTGTTTGTACAATCACAGTGTCTCCGTACGTTAACCCACATTTTATCATAGAAACTTTAGAAAGCCACACTAACTCACTGCCAGCAACCGGAAGCGCTGCATTATTCAGATTTGCGTTTGCAGTGAACGACATTACAAGTTTGTCGCGTTTTACCACATTTGCAGCTGCAGATGACTGACTTCCAACTTTCGGAGTAATCTTTTTCCCAACAATGGCAGACGATTTCTTTGTAGTATCTTTTTTCGGTGCCATAATAATAGAAATTGAAAGCAAAATCAAAATCAAAATAATAAAAGACCCAAAAAAAACTCCCAGTCCTTACCAACTTTCTAATATATATATATATATATATATATTCTTGCCTCTGGTATGTCGCAACAACCAAGCAAATACTATCTCTATGCATATAGCCTCTACATAGAAGATAGAAATAAGAATAATGGGGACGTAACCAATCCCTCGGCTCGATGTCTGCGTATGTGCTCTCTTATCGAGACAAATCGGCGAATAGCGAATTCTCTCGGTAGGAAGTAGGGATCGGAAGAGTTGATGCTGATTTTTCTAGTTATACTGAATCGGAGCAGCAGGATATGATTCACTATCTGGAAGGAGCCGATCCATCGATCGTAAATGAGGAAACGGGTCAAGAGTGTCCGCAGACTGAGCTATTAGTCAGTGTATATGCTCGACCCAACAATGATGAAGTGAAAAACACGGACAACCTTCGGTATTATCCATTCCTCAATTCATGATGAGTAGTCCGCCTGTAGTACTCGAAAAGACGGTTCTCCACCTATTCCACAACTGTCTGAATCACATAAATTTGCCAGACCCGCGAATTAAGTATTCTGCAAATTGAATATTTTTCCGGTAGTAACAAAATCGTAACGTTCTCCTCGGTGTACACCTTCATCCACGACCGTCTGAAGATGGTATACCGCGAGTCCTTATGGCAAGGCAAAGACATCAATCGTAATCATGCTTCTTTTCTCTGCTCCTCTCACCCGCAGCACATATCGACGTCTGTATTCGCATCCACGAGTACATGTGCCGCTTCCTGATCCTCTTCTCTCACTACCTCTTCCATGATGATGAGTTCATGAACCAACGCAACAAGTCTCTCAGCAGCTGGCTCACCCAGCTTTTCATCCTTTATACCACCGCCGTCAACCTCCGTTTCCACGTTTTGGGCGTTTCATCTAGACCGATTCGACGCTCTGCAGAACTGCGGGGAGTTTCTCGGTTACTACGCGCTTTACTATGATAATCAACGACTCCTATTCCCCTCCTTGGTAGTTTCCACGTTTCCACGTTTCTCCTAGATCGACCCGGCGAACACCATCGCGAAATCGGTCGTGGTGCTGGAGAGCGCGACGACACACCTTCCTCCGCACATCGCGGCGCGCAATCGGCGGCGTTTCCTCGCGGTTATTCGGCTCATCCAGCTGATGGAGGTAGAGAACCGCGGGAATGATGCCATGATGACGGGTAGGCGGGAGATCTGGTTTCCCTGTTTCGACTGTGCGAGGCGTTACCCCCCTTGGTCGTAATACTGTTCCTCTGCGACAAGTACAAAACACGTGATTGTGTTCCGGGGGTTTCACGTAGTGCGGCACATGGCGGGAGCGTATCTCTACAGCAAGCGCGTTTCCACGTTTCCCTATCCAGAAATCGGCCAGATTTTCTTCGCCGCGCCGTTTGAAATCCCCGCGGTTCTGGACAGTTTCAATCTGGCGTGGAACCCCGCGGATCAGACCGTCTCCCGCCTCGAGGAGGGGAAACGGAGAAACCTGCCGCCTTCCCCGTTTCCCTCCTTCCCGCCCTCGCTCATCCAGGCCAAACTGAGGTGGGCGATTCCCCGCGGTTCTTGAGAAATAGCGGCTTTTCCCTCGAGGACGTGATTCTGGGCGCCTGCGCCGAGGATCCTCCGCCAATCCCCGCGGTTAACCTGGTTCTACCTTTCGCCGTCGCCCACGCGCCCGCGCCCGACCCGCTTTTTTCCCACATCCGCAGCGCCGACAGCGTTCCCGCGGATTTTTTACCCGAAGATGACGCGAAAACCGCGGGAATGGGAGTTTCGAAGAATTCGATGGATGGGATGCGCGAAACGCCCGGGACCTCCGTTACCTCGGTTTCTCCGATTTCTCCCATTCCATCGGTTACCTCGGTTACCTCGGTTTCTCCAGTTACTCCAGTTACTCCAGTTTCGGAAGTGCCGGGAGCGATGGATGCGGTCTCGGGTTTCTCCGTTTCCCCGGTTTCCCCGGTTTCCCCGATTGGTTCTAGCGAGGGATTGTGGATTCCCGCGGGGAACAGCAGCGAGTGGGATCTGAGTGCGGAATTCCCGCGGGGATTACCGCTGTCGAAGGAGGGAATTTCCCGCGGGGACTCGGTGGTGTGGGATCGGATTCCCGCGGGGGATGGGAATGTGTTCGCGGTACCGGAATCGGAGAACCAGGGAAACGTGGAAGGGGGCGTGCGCCTCCCGTTCCAAGGGGGTTTCACGCTGCCGAAGGGTTTCCCCTTTTCTGGGAGTTTCGGTGCGGCGAAGCCGGAAGAAGAAAAGAAATCATTTATGAATTTATCGATGAACGAATCCACGAATTCATCAGCCATGGAACCATCAGCCACAAGACCATTAATGAACCCATCCATGGAACCATCAGCCACAAGACCATTAATGAATCCATTAATGAATCCTCCTTCATTGATTCCTTCCACAAACCCATTCATGAATTCATCCAAGAATTCTTCCATGAATCCTCTTTCATCATTATCACCAACGGAACCATCCACTGTTTCCACTGTTTCCACTGTTTCCACTGTTTCCACTGTTTTCAATCAGCCCAAGTTTTCTTTCAATCCCAATCCTCCGAACCAACCCGCCTCGAAACTCCCAATGAAACTCCCAGCGAAACCCATCCCACCCCCACCAGTGAAACTCCCGCTGAAAGAAACGCCCCCTTCGCCCCCGCCAGTTCCCGCCTCCTTCGCCTTCTCCGAGGTTCCCTCTTCCCCGGTTTCCCCAGTTTCCCCAGTTTCCCCAGAAGATGAAACCACGTTTTTGTTTTCGCTGGTCGATTCCCCCGCGGTTCTGAACACCGCGGTAACGACCGCTGTATCGAAGCACGCTGATTGGCTGAACGAATTTTCTTCGAATCTACAAAACCGAATGAATGAATTCGAAACGAAAATGGGCGGCAAATTGGCTTCGCTCGATACGCAGATGAAACGCCTTCAGAAACGAATCGCCGAAATGAAACGCCTCCAATTCCATCGAAAGAACCTTCTATCGAACCTTCGAATCGAACTGAGGAAAAACCGCGGAATTGAATTGTGTTCCATCGATGGAAACATCGAAGACTTTGCGAAACGACACGCTTCCAAGAGAATTCGGTGGAACACAATGGAAAAAACGGTTTCAAAACGAATTCATGAAACTCCCCAATTCATTTTGATGAAACTCCCGTTGAAAACCGCGGGAAAATTGGCCATCGATTGGGTGTCCACGGAGGGAGTTTCATCCGAAGAATTCGATGGAATTCTGTCCAGCGTTTCGATTGGCTCCCCCTTCGTTTCTATTTTGACGAAAAAAGTCCAGATTTTTGACATTCCAAAGTAGTCCCTTTTTTTGTCATTTTCATTAGTTCCCGCGGGAAATTGGAGGTTTCAAATCGAATCCACCCATCCGATCGTGGAAACGTGGAAATCCAGATACACAAAATGAAACTCCCGGACAATTCGATGGAATTCGAAACTTGGCGGGAAACCCAAGTCGCGAAGCTGACGGATTCCCCGCGGTTATTCCACATCATTCTGTGCGACCAATGGACGGAACGCGAATTGGAGAAACTCCCGTCGGATCGAAGAAAAAGGCTCTATTTTTGGAATTCCATAAATCAGGCCGATTTTTGGAATTTGGGGGTTGAAGTTTCGAAATTCATCGAAGAAGTGAAACGCCCGCAGCAGAAGGAGGTCGATTTTTTCGTGTGGAAAACCGCGGTTTATACGATTGGCGGAAATTGGCACTATTTCAATGAGATTTCGAATCGAATTCGATCGGAGTTGGAGAATCCGGAAGTGGAGCTAACCGTGGAAACGGAGAAACGAATCGAGGAATGGAGCAAAAAGTGGAAAATCGAAATTGAATTGAATGAAACACAAAAACAAAAACAAAAACAAAAACAAAACTCATTTTCTTATGCATCTTCTTTCTCATCTTTTTCATATCAAAATCGTGAAATGAATTCAAATGAAAGCGAAAATGCAGAGATGCAAACGCTAACGAAATCGTCGGGATTGCATCGGAAGTGGTTCGATCAGCAGATCAAACGAGTCGAAAGCAAAATCCGAACGGAGTTGAAGGAAATGGAAGCGTGGAAAATCAAATTGGAATCATGTGCACAGGAAATGGACACAGTGCTGGACATGGATCGCTTTGAACTGGAGAATGAACTTATGTTATACTAGTTTGGATCCCTTGTTTTTTAAATAACATATACACACACGCACACACACATTCATAGCGACAAAACTAATTCGTCAATTCTTCTTTATGCTTTTTGCGTTCTTTTATCTATTCGTCATTTTTCAAGCTGTTGCGCAAAGTGATATTTGGAAGGTACTCTCACTTTTATAGAATGTGGAGAGTTTGAAGCATCGTGTATTAATCGAGGGAAAAATAGTGGGAAGCACTGGTCCTCATTTCCCTATAGGTATTAAGCAAATGTGTACGATTTATGGAGACGAATCGGGTGTTGTCTCTGAAATGTATATTACTGATATTTCATACAACGGAAACAACTGCACTGAAATGTCCTTTTATGTTACAAACAAGTAGGTTTTGCTTTTGCGTAATTCCCAAAGAATTGAAATAGCTTCACAAACATCGAATTCAGTAAGTAGGGAGAACCCAATTTCTTGAACAAAAATAGACTCCACCACTTTCGTAGGAACCATCAAAGACGTCGAAGTGTCAATCCTGAAGTACGCGCCTCTCGTAAACGATGGTGTGTGCTGCACGTTGATAAACGGGGAATTATGCGTATTACCCGACGAGAGCCTGATCTCTGTACCCATATCGTATCTGTTTTATTCTTCCATACCTAGCTAGTGATATTCAATGTTTCTACGGCAGTGCTTCCCTATTCCTCTCCTATCAAATCCAAATCTCCACACAACAGGAATTCCTCATCAATTATTTAGACAATTCGATCGAACTTAACAACGTTCCCTACACATTGAGAGGAACCACAGGATGCACTGAGTCCATTCCAACGATCGTTCCCTCGCCGGATGTCGAAATCCAACGTGAATTCCAGAAATCGGGACTATTTTTTAGGCCAAACGGTGATGAATATTGTGGCAGGGTTTATTCTGGTGCTGGTGGTCGTTTATCTGATTATAAAGTGCGTGTTGAGTTATATGGAGGAGAGGAAGTATATGGATTCGCAGATGCGGAAGAAAGAAACCTCAACGATTGAGATGATTTCAACCTCTGATAAGAGTGAATAGTTGCCTGTATGTTATGCGATGTAATCACCTTCTCTTTATATTTTTTAATTGGTCGCATGTTTGTTGGAATGCCTTCTTTCTTGCTTCGCTTCAGGTGTCATTCTTTGAAAAGTGTCACCGAGTTTCATTTTCCTAGATGAAGGCAGTAAAGGTGAGAGAGAAGTGTATGAAAATGGATTCTACGGGTTCCAAGAAAGAGGTGTCACAAGTGCAGAATGATTTGGTTATTCCCTCTTTCCTAAATGGATTCCTCTATTTTGTGGTTGCAACTGTGTGGACCTCCCTCCTGTACATTATTTTGTATGCGACAAACGTGATTGAGGTTCTGAAGAACTTTGATCAGTCGTTTCGCTATGTGCAAGGAGTAACGCCTCTAACGTCTCCATCAACAGTGGCCACGATCATTAGCTGTTATGTGATCAGTCTTCCCGTGATTCAGGGGATAATGAATGACCGGAAGCCAGTGAACCTTGGACGGGTTGTTGTGATCCACAATACACTCTTGATGCTCGCCTCCGCTGCATTGGCAGCTGGAATCGCTTTCTATGTGTTCCAAGATATATATAAGAACGGCTTTTACCATTCTATTTGTAGTGCAGGTATTTTTCTTTGACTGTTGTGCATCACACTCTAGAAACGCACGACAATGCGTCTCTGCACGTTTTGTACTATATGAACTACTTACTCAAGTTCTATGAGTTCGTGGACACCTATGTGATTCTTCTGAAAAAGCGTCCGCTCATTTTTCTCCACTGGTACCACCACGCAAGTAATCGCTCTCCCTGATTTTTGTTAACTCACAGTCACCGCGCTCCTAACCTACATCCAACAGAACGATTACACGCCGGTTCAGTGGGTTCCCATTCTCATGAACTTGATCGTATGTTTGTTCGGATGAATTGAATCTAGGTCCACGTCGTGATGTACTCGTACTATTTGATGTCGTCTCTGCACATCCGTTGCTGGTGGAAGCAATACCTCACCCTCTTCCAGATCGTGCAGTTCATTGTAGACTTGATTGTGTGCACTTATTGCGCTCTCCATCTCTGGGAAGAGCCGCGAACCTGTTTTGGAACGGCACGTGCCGCATACTCCGGACTGGGGATTATCGGCTCGTACTTCCTGCTGTTCATTCGCTTTTACTATACAAACTACAAAGCTAAAGAGAAGAGAGAATAGATGGCATGTTTGTTGGACACCTGACACTTGTTGCTAGAATCACACCTGATTTCGACTGTGTGAATGCTCCTAAAGTAAACCAGCTTCCTACAACCCCTCGTGAACATCATAATTAATTTTACCTCTGTCCGTTTTGTCGCTTCTATCGACGTTTCGATCTAACAATGGCATCTACAAGCAATGAAGGCCTCGACAGCACGGATAACGTCTTTTTGTGCTTCTTCCTCACGGAAGCGTTCTCTACGAACCGCAGCGAGTTGCCCGCCATGCGGTACCAAGCTGTGCTGGAAAACATCGTAATCGTGTGTGATGTGGATGAGTGGTAGAGTGTGGAGTCGTCTCTCTCGCTACGAACAGATGTGGGTTCACAGCGCTGGATTACGAGGAATAAGCTATTTTGGAGCATGGCTCGTGATGCATATGAGGTATCGTTTGTTTAGTAAGTGAACGGGAAGGAGGCGGTCGCTGCGGATAATATCATGCTGCATATCATCGTGTATTGGAAGTCGGATGAGAAAACACCTTCTTCCAATGCGAAAGCGTGCGAGTTTTCTCTGAAGCTCCCCGCTGTGACGGACGGAGTCAACTGGGACGAAGTGTTCCAAACGGAGGTGGGAGCGTACCGGTTCATGTTCCACTACCACGCACAGCCGAACTACATTTCGAATTTCGGTTTTTTTATGTGATGGAAAATGAACAATCTAGAGTTTGAGCGAGGTTCTCAGAATGGCGTGATTACGTTGCTTTCTTCCGATCCCAAAATAAACGAGAGTGCGGAAGACTACGAATTATCGATGTCTTTGGAAGGAGTCGAGGGATGGGATTCATTAATCTCTTTCCTACAACGAAGCAATTATTCTTCGAGTACTTTCCTCTTTATTAGCAATAATATGAAAGCATCTTTTAATTTTAATTTAACTTTGACACGAGAATATAAAACGATCCCACGACCCAATTTCCCGCCAAACTACCAAATTTTAAAACTCGATCCCATTCGCTTCCATGCCCCCATCCACCTTCTCTCCCTCTTTCTTCAAACCCTCGAGCCTCCAATGGTCCAACTTCGCGATGCCAACCGTTTTTCGTGTTCGGTTTTGTCTTACTATTCAGAGCGGCTTGTCTGCGAGTTTATCCCTGATTTCGAAGAACTGGCATTCAATTTAGCCTGCTGCCCGGACGATTCCTGCGTCTCCGCGAGCGACGCTTCGATCGAACTCCACGACACCGTGCACTTGAAGGACATGCTGGACAACGAGCACAGCTGCCCCGCGGTGATGTCCGATTTCGGTTTGTGCTGGCGAGCGATTCGAGCGTAGTGTACTCCAATTGCGTGCTGCTCGTCCACTTGTCGCTGCGCAAGATCGATAAGGCAACAGCTCTCCAACCGCCCATCAATCAATCCTTGCAAACTGCCATTCTCACACCCACAGACACGCCTGCCTTCACGGAAACCTCCACGCAGAGTTGGAAACCCTCCCAAAAGCCCACACAGAACCCTTCCCAAAAGCCCACACAACCCTCTTACTCCCAAAAGCCCACACAAAACACTCCTTACTCCCAAAAACCTGCACAGAACGCTTCCCAAAAACCCACACAGAACGCTTCTTACACCCAAAACGCTCCTTACAAGCCATCCAACACGTTTTCCAATCCATCAACCGCAGCGCCCGCTGTGGCGGAGCTGGTGGACCTCACGCGCAGCAGCGACGACGGCAGCAACGATGACGATGAGGCGTTCGAAGCGTCGATGCGGCCGTTATCGGTGCAGACGGACGTTCTGCAGCAGAAGTTGAAGCATTTGGAGGAGTTCCACGCGGAGACGGTGAAGTATTATGAGAAGGAATTGGCGGCGAAGCAGCGGACGATTCATCAATTGACGCAGGCAAATCGGGAGTTCGAGAAGCTGTGCGTGGATAGCGTGCTGGGGGAGAGCAAAACGGAGGACGTGCTGCGGCTACGGAATGAGAATGAAGCGCTGAAGAGAAGAGTGAGAGAGGCGGAGGAGCGGTGGAAACGATTGCAGAAGGAGAACGATGAATTGAGGTAGGGAAAAGGAGGAATAGTGAAAGGTAGAGCAGTGATGGTGAAGATTTGCAAGGCGTAGATTGCAAGTTGGATTGTTTTATAAAGTCTAAGCATATATATGAGTTATTGTTGACAATGCGGATTGTTTGTTGGAGAAAAGAGAACAATAAATCGATGAGTGAATGGGATATCAATCATATTACAATAGAGCTCGATTCATAAGTGAGTGAACGTAATCCTATGATAATTGGATGGGGCATGTTCATAATAATTCTGTTTTGAAAGCTATTGACAACTTGATATGAGAAATGTACACTTAAAAAAAAGGATATAACCCAATTCCATCTCCAAGACTCTTAAGTTGGAAGACATTATTTACATGACCTATACAACTAATTTGCACCTACCAGATAACCCTTATCCTGGAATGATTTTCACTGATCCTGCTGATAACACTGATGGTGATTGGGCTAAATATGGATGCTTTGATCATGTTGATTACACTGATGACGAAATCAACGAGAAAGTGTTCTTGGCTATTCTTTCTGGAGACGCTGAGACTGTGAAAGAGGCGACTGGTAAGGAGAATCCTAAGGTATTGAATGCTGGACCTGAGGATACTGTGTTCACTTATTTCATTGACCATGGTGGTGATGATATCATTTGTGTTGGTGGTGATTATGTTCGCTCGGCTGCTTTGGTCGGTGCTCTTAAGACTGCGTACGAGAAGAAGCTGTACGGTAAGTGGGTGTGGTTCATGGAGGCTTGCCATTCGGGATCCATGTTCCCTAATCTTCCCACTGATATCAACATCTACGTGATGACTTCTAGCGATGCTCATCATAATGCTTACATGAGCAACTGCCCTCCTGAGGATTACATTGGTGAGAAGCACTTGGGCGCTTGCATGGCTGGACTTTGGGATAATTTCTATCTGGATTATCTGGAACAGAATCCTGATTGCACCATTGGAGAGATTTTCGATTCCGTGAAGGCTTCTGTTGCTGAGTCCTCTGATCAGAACGTTTCTGAGTTTGGAGATATGACTTTCCGCGATCTCAAGGTCTCTGAGTTCTTCGGAGAGCTTCCTTCTAGAAGTCTTCGTAAGTCTTACAAGGTTTCGAAGAGCGAGAGCAACGTTCCTGTGTCGGAAGTGCCTCTTCATCTTGCTAAGTGGGCTGCGATCCGTGCGGATGATAAGAACAAGGAATCTGCTTTGAAGGCTTACGAGAACGAACTGATTGCTGAGGCGAAGCGTGAAGTTGAATTGATGCGTCTGGGAAGCGCTCTGATGAACGAGAAGGCTGCTAACAACGCTATGACTGCTCCTTCTGAAGCTTACAGCGCTGATTGTGTCCGTGAGTTGTCTCTGATGCTGGTGAAGAAGTGCGGTCACAAATTGCCGTTCTCTTCTAAGCAGAACAACATGCTTCGTAACATTTGTCTCCCTGGTTTGAGTGTTCCTAACGTGAACTGGGATGATATTTGCATGTAACGAATCCAGTGTAATTTCCTTATAATTATCTCAATTCATTGAGTTACTCTAATTATTTGTTTCAAAAATGATATTTTCAAGTTATCTTGAGGTTTGTGTTCCTAAAAGATTGGAAAAACTTTTAGGATTAGAATTTTGGCTAATTTTGGCTAATATTAATTATCCACAATGATGAATGAGAATTATATATGGAAATGGAAAGGATAATATCTCGGTAGTTCAAAGTTTTCTATAGTTGATTTGAAGATTATAATAACATATAGAATAACAGAGATAATCATTAGATAAGAAACATGATACGAAATTCACAATTCATTCAATGAGAGAAACAAATCAACATGATAAATGACGCACTTATGAAAATACAACACTATTTTTGGAAATAGAAATAATATTTCTTCCTATCTTTTCTCTTTTTCATAATTTATTTCGTAAGCGATTATGAGAACTTTTACTGCCTATTTGGTGATTCTCTTGGCTGCACTTGCTGCTGCTGAAAAGTATGCGATGGTGTTTGGTACTGCTGATGGTTGGAGCAACTATTCTATCACTAGCGTATGAATGTATATTCATATTCTAATCAATAGGATCCTTGCCGTGTGTACACCGACCTCATTCGTGCTGGAATTAAGCCTGAAAACATTATTTACATGACCTACACTACTGATGTGAACACTAGCAGAAATCCTTATCCTGGAATGATTTTCACTGATCCTGCTGATAACACTGATGGTGATTGGGCTAAATATGGATGCTTTGATCATGTTGATTACACTGATGATGAAATCAACGAGAAAGTGTTCTTGGCTATTCTTTCTGGAGACGCTGAGACTGTGAAAGAGGCGACTGGTAAGGAGAATCCTAAGGTATTGAATGCTGGACCTGAGGATACTGTGTTCACTTATTTCATTGACCATGGTGGTGATGATATCATTTGTGTTGGTGGTGATTATGTTCGCTCGGCTGCTTTGGTCGGTGCTCTTAAGACTGCGTACGAGAAGAAGCTGTACGGTAAGTGGGTGTGGTTCATGGAGGCTTGCCATTCGGGATCCATGTTCCCTAATCTTCCCACTGATATCAACATCTACGTGATGACTTCTGCTGATGCTCATCATAATGCTTACATGAGCAACTGCCCTCCTGAGGATTACATTGGTGAGAAGCACTTGGGCGCTTGCATGGCTGGACTTTGGGATAATTTCTATCTGGATTATCTGGAACAGAATCCTGATTGCACCATTGGAGAGATTTTCGATTCCGTGAAGGCTTCTGTTGCTGAGTCCTCTGATCAGAACGTTTCTGAGTTTGGAGATATGACTTTCCGCGATCTCAAGGTCTCTGAGTTCTTCGGAGAGCTTCCTTCTAGAAGTCTTCGTAAGTCTTACAAGGTTTCGAAGAGCGAGAGCAACGTTCCTGTGTCGGAAGTGCCTCTTCATCTTGCTAAGTGGGCTGCGATCCGTGCGGATGATAAGAACAAGGAATCTGCTTTGAAGGCTTACGAGAACGAACTGATTGCTGAGGCGAAGCGTGAAGTTGAATTGATGCGTCTGGGAAGCGCTCTGATGAACGAGAAGGCTGCTAACAACGCTATGAATGCTCCTTCTGAAGCTTACAGCGCTGATTGTGTCCGTGAGCTGTCTCTGATGCTGGTGAAGAAGTGCGGTCACAAATTGCCGTTCTCTTCTAAGCAGAACAACATGCTTCGTAACATTTGTCTCCCTGGTTTGAGTGTTCCTAACGTGAACTGGGATGATATTTGCATGTAAAGGGGAAGCATATTGCATTATTTGTTATATAAATTTCTAATTATGAAAGGTTTAATAAGGGAAAGTGCGTTAGCCTATGGAGACAGAGGTGTTTTTAGGGTTTAGTGGTTCAAAAAAGAAAAAATGATTGTTGATGTGATGCATCATGAGACGAGTTAACACTACGAATGCAAAACAAACTTTGGGGATTCCTTAACGTCCGAAATACAGTGTAAATAATTATATACACACTAGGTACTTACACACATCTTTATATCCCAAATATAGTCTATAATAACAATACTTGTGCGATCCCACGGATTGTATTGCATATGATTCATTTTGGGTTGTGTTTTTCAGAATTAATTTGGTAAGCGATTATGAGAACTTTTACTGCTATTGCGCTTATTATTTTGGCTGCACTTGCTGCTGCTGAAAAGTATGCGATGGTGTTTGGTACTGCTGATGGTTGGAGCAACTACTCTATCACTAGCGTATGAGCATATTTTTACATTCTAATCAATAGGATCCTTGCCGAGCATACGCCGACCTCATTCGTGCTGGAATTAAGCCTGAAAACATTATTTACATGACCTATACAACTAATTTGCACCTACCAGATAACCCTTATCCTGGAATGATTTTCACTGATCCTGCTGATAACACTGATGGTGATTGGGCTAAATATGGATGCTTTGATCATGTTGATTACACTGATGACGAAATCAATAAAGAGGTATTCCTGGCTATTCTTTCTGGAGACGCTGAGACTGTGAAGGAGAAGACTGGTAAGGAGAATCCTAAGGTATTGAATGCTGGACCTGAGGATACTGTGTTCACTTATTTCATTGACCATGGTGATTATGATGATATTTGTGTTGGTATTGATAATGTGAGTTCGAAAGAATTGATGAAGGCTCTTAAGACTGCGTATGAGAAGAAGTTGTACGGTAAGTGGGTGTGGTTCATGGAGGCTTGCCATTCGGGATCCATGTTCTTGAAATTACCATCGAATATGAACATTTATGTGATGACTTCTGCTGATGAAAACCATGATGCACTTATGAGTCACTGCCCTCCGGATGACGAAGTAGCTGGCCAACGATTATATACGTGCTTGGCTGGACTTTGGGACAATTATTATCTGGATTATCTGGAACAGAATCCTGATTGCACCATTGGAGAGATTTTCGAGGCTGTGAGAGCCAGAGTGGATAGCGAGTCGGATCAGAACGTTTCTGAGTTTGGAGATATGACTTTCCGCGATCTCAAGGTCTCTGAGTTCTTCGGAGAGCTTCCTTCTAGAAGTCTTCGTAAGTCTTACAAGGTTTCGAAGAGCGAGAGCAACGTTCCTGTGTCGGAAGTGCCTCTTCATCTTGCTAAGTGGGCTGCGATCCGTGCGGATGATAAGAACAAGGAATCTGCTTTGAAGGCTTACGAGAACGAACTGATTGCTGAGGCGAAGCGTGAAGTTGAATTGATGCGTCTGGGAAGCGCTCTGATGAACGAGAAGGCTGCTAACAACGCTATGACTGCTCCTTCTGAAGCTTACAGCGCTGATTGTGTCCGTGAGCTGTCTCTGATGCTGGTGAAGAAGTGCGGTCACAAATTGCCGTTCTCTTCTAAGCAGAACAACATGCTTCGTAACATTTGTCTCCCTGGTTTGAGTGTTCCTAACGTGAACTGGGACGATATTTGCATGTAACGAATCCAGTGTAATTTCCTTATAATTATCTCAATTCATTGAATTACTCTAATTATTTGTTTCAAAAATGATATTTTCAAGTTATCTTGAGGTTTGTGTTCCTAAAAGATTGGAAAAACTTTGTTTAGGATTAGAATTTTGGCTAATTTTGGCTAATATTAATTATCCACAATGATGAATGAGAATTATATATGGAAATGGAAAGGATAATATCTCGGTAGTTCAAAGTTTTCTATAGTTGATTTGAAGATTATAATAACATATAGAATAACAGAGATAATCATTAGATAAGAAACATGATACGAAATTCACAATTCATTCAATGAGAGAAACAAATCAACATGATAAATGACGCACTTATGAAAATACAACACTATTTTTGGAAATAGAAATAATATTTCTTCCTATCTTTTCTCTTTTTCATAATTTATTTCGTAAGCGATTATGAGAACTTTTACTGCCTATTTGGTGATTCTCTTGGCTGCACTTGCTGCTGCTGAAAAGTATGCGATGGTGTTTGGTACTGCTGATGGTTGGAGCAACTATTCTATCACTAGCGTATGAATGTATATTCATATTCTAATCAATAGGATCCTTGCCGTGTGTACACCGACCTCATTCGTGCTGGAATTAAGCCTGAAAACATTATTTACATGACCTACACTACTGATGTGAACACTAGCAGAAATCCTTATCCTGGAATGATTTTCACTGATCCTGCTGATAACACTGATGGTGATTGGGCTAAATATGGATGCTTTGATCATGTTGATTACACTGATGACGAAATCAACGAGAAAGTGTTCTTGGCTATTCTTTCTGGAGACGCTGAGACTGTGAAAGAGGCGACTGGTAAGGAGAATCCTAAGGTATTGAATGCTGGACCTGAGGATACTGTGTTCACTTATTTCATTGACCATGGTGGTGATGATATCATTTGTGTTGGTGGTGATTATGTTCGCTCGGCTGCTTTGGTCGGTGCTCTTAAGACTGCGTACGAGAAGAAGCTGTACGGTAAGTGGGTGTGGTTCATGGAGGCTTGCCATTCGGGATCCATGTTCCCTAATCTTCCCACTGATATCAACATCTACGTGATGACTTCTAGCGATGCTCATCATAATGCTTACATGAGCAACTGTCCTCCTGAGGATTACATTGGTGAGAAGCACTTGGGCGCTTGCATGGCTGGACTTTGGGATAATTTCTATCTGGATTATCTGGAACAGAATCCTGATTGCACCATTGGAGAGATTTTCGATTCCGTGAAGGCTTCTGTTGCTGAGTCCTCTGATCAGAACGTTTCTGAGTTTGGAGATATGACTTTCCGCGATCTCAAGGTCTCTGAGTTCTTCGGAGAGCTTCCTTCTAGAAGTCTTCGTAAGTCTTACAAGGTTTCGAAGAGCGAGAGCAACGTTCCTGTGTCGGAAGTGCCTCTTCATCTTGCTAAGTGGGCTGCGATCCGTGCGGATGATAAGAACAAGGAATCTGCTTTGAAGGCTTACGAGAACGAACTGATTGCTGAGGCGAAGCGTGAAGTTGAATTGATGCGTCTGGGAAGCGCTCTGATGAACGAGAAGGCTGCTAACAACGCTATGAATGCTCCTTCTGAAGCTTACAGCGCTGATTGTGTCCGTGAGTTGTCTCTGATGCTGGTGAAGAAGTGCGGTCACAAATTGCCGTTCTCTTCTAAGCAGAACAACATGCTTCGTAACATTTGTCTCCCTGGTTTGAGTGTTCCTAACGTGAACTGGGATGATATTTGCATGTAACGAACTTATTCAGTGTGAAAGTGGTTTATGGGTATTTCAATTTATGTGAATGTTTTTTTAATCAAAGCAATTGTTAAATCTTATACCACACATACAGATGAGATAAAAATGCTTATTACCAAAAATAGTGGAGAATTATGGAAAGCCAGGAATTGAGGATTATGAAAAACATAAAACTGTTTTTGTGATGATTCTCGTTACTCGTTTTGTCATATATGTACTCTGCCTGCTTCTAGTAGTAGCAGAAAACGATATGTACACTTACACTGAGTAATTTGCTGAATGATTGATTTGAGCATAGTAAATCTGCTCTCCTTAACATCAAGGAAACAAATGTATATATATTTAATGAATTATCTAACGTTTGCTTTGATGGGTCGTCTCTTCTCCTTTTCAGTCTTCCGAAGGACGACTACGAAAAATTAAATCAGATAGCCGCTTCTGCCGGTAAGCCTGCTTTGAAGTGCTAAGAAGTAGGTGTTGAGTGGAAGAACATGGACAATTCTGTCTATAGCTCAAAGCAGTCCGATACCTCCTTCAACCACAACCCTCTGGGTATTTTTCTGGCGACCAGCGACAAGGAGGATTTCCAGCCGTACCGTCTTCTGAATGCTCTGCTCTACCTTCGTCGTAACGGCATCGACGTCTCCGCCGTTCTCTCTCATCGTCTCCTCCCAACCTAGTTCACCGCTGTATATCTCCGCACTGCCCGCTCTCTCAGCAACTACGCGACATCGATCGTAGCCCACTACAGCGACGTTCTTTCGGACAACTTGGGTTCGAACCTCGCTCTCAAGCCTCAGCAGCCCTTCTGCATCCAGCAGCTGCTCCTCATCACTCCCAAACCGAGCGTGCAGGACCTGATCTACCAGCGCGACGCCGTGTTTTTACGCAAACTCATCTACAAAGGCAACGCGAAGTACCCGATTCCCCGCAGAAAGATGGAAGTTCTCGTTAATTTCAGACCGGAGGCCTCGCGATGGGCATCCGAGCAGCCCGTGCGCCGGTACTTCAGCACGATCGCGAAGGTATTCCCGCGGGGAGGATGCGAAATAGAATCTGAACCCGAAGTATGTGACGCTGGGATCGATGTCGACGAAAGAAATCGTGGAGGAAATGAAGCGAATTGACGTGTTTGTGACGACGTATGGAGACGATACGGTCTTTTTGCTGTTTATGGTCCCTTATTCGGTGCTGATCGAGGTGCAACCGGACTATTTCCACGATTCCACGACGAGCATTATCGCGTACGCGTCGGATATTTATCCGGTGGTGGTTCGCGATGTGTACACGGAGGTCCCGAAGGAGTGCAGAATGGATGGAGAGCTGGTTTTGAGCGAGGAAGAGCCGTGTCGAAGCACGCTGCGGAATCGCGATATCGACTTCGATATCAAGTCGATGACGCAGTCGATCGCTCAGGCTCAGTATTATCTGTACAACTTCAAGATGAAGGAGTTGGAGTATTGGCGTGTTTGTTGAAACAAAGAGATTAGGGAGAAGAAAGAGAAAGGCGCGATGCCCATTGCTCGATCGCTCGGTTGCCTTGAAAAGTGGCGTGGTTGCGACGAAGAACGGCGATTCCGAGGCTGGAGGCATCGCTGGCGTGGGAATAGCTGCGAGTGAGGAGAGGAGAGAGGAGGCACGTGGCGATGGTGGAGAAGTAGGAGGCGATGGAGGGAGAGGAGAGAAGGGAAAGACGCTCCAACTCGGTGCCTTCGACGATGATGTTGACAGTGGGAGTAGCGATGATGGTGAGGTGGAGTGAAGGAATGGAACAGAATAAGAGAATGAGTCAATGGAAAGAGAGGAGGAGAGAGAATGATTGGAGGAGAAGAAATGAATGAACCAAGCAAGGAGCTTTAGATTCATTCAATTCAATTCAATCCCTTCTCTTTTCATTCAATTCAATTCAATCCCTTCTCTTTTCATTCATTCATTCATTACGACAAGGATATAATTTGCAAAATGTCCAATCGGCACGGTCCATGCAGCACCACCGCCGCATTCTTCAACGGACCCACGACACCCTTTTCTTGCAGCGGATGCAGCATATAATTCTCAAACATTCGACATCCATTTCCATCATCCACCACGTGCCTACAATCGATAAATTGCCCCTTTTCTACTGAATCTTATCGAGATTCTGCTTCACTTTGGGCAGCCATTTCGTCTTTCGATGAGCGCTACGCCTCGCATTTCCATCCACACACCAAACATCATATTCGTATCATGAAATTCAATGATCGACGATCGACAAAGCGAAGTCAACTTCCCCAAAACCCGTCCATTTTCATAAAAAATGCATTCTATCATCGTCATTCAATCCATTTCGCATTTCTCACTTCGACCCTTCAAATAATTCTGCAAAAACATCATCGTTTCGTTGCTGACATCGTCATCATACGCTTCCGTTTTGTGTAGTTCCAGCGTTCCATCTGCAAGGCGAACTACATCCAATCCAATCCAAATCCATCAATTACCGATCTGATTCGGACTCAAAAACGTGGTTTTATACAAGGGAACACTCAAATTATACTGCTTTTCCACGATTCTCTTATTCCACTGATCGTCCTCTTCCGATTTCACAGTTTCCTTGTTTCCCCAGTTTCCCTCTTTTCCGGTTTGATGAAGAGCAATCACTGTACATCAGCACAAACAACAAAAGAACAAACAGGATTCACTACAATCGATTACGCTAATCCGCTCGTTGCTCAACCCATAATGAAAAATATACGAATCGATCATATCTCGTCCTATCACCACTTCCGAACTAAAATCGTCCCGAAAAGTGGATTTCGAAAAGAGGAAATAGTCCATCGCCAAACCCATAAATTGTTCGTGTTGTTTATACGCATCGAGCAGACGGCCTTCGTATTCTCGCTTGGAATAGGATACAGAACGGAACAAATGGACGGTCGGAATGTTTGTGCGTCGTCCCACCAAGAGAACGTCCTGTTTTAGATTTCCCTCCAACTGGTGAGAGTGAACGAGGTCTAAAATTGTGTCCATTCGGAAGTCCAGAAGAATATCTCCGTTCATATATCCATAGTATTGACATTCTAGTGGGTAAACGCCTTGGCGGATCGAAAAAAGCGTTTGCAGAATGGATGAAAAATAGGGAAGACCATAGCTGTTCGTTCTAGGGAGAGGAGGGATTCAAAGCACTATACTTTACTTTTGGCGTAGAGTATATTCCGTTTAAGGTACAATAATCCGTGATTTCAGGATCGGAAGTAATAACAACAGAAAAGACTTCATCCCCTAGAAAACGCAGGGAATTCACGGTACCAAAATAGATTTGACGTTTCTCATTCGTCTACTTCTGAGTTTACAAAACAACAATTACAGATAAGGAACCCATTGTCGTAGCGAGGCACAATTTATAATTTGATCTCGATCTACAAAGTAATATTAGCGAAATCCACATACACAAGGATGTCGCTAACGGCGAATCGATTATGTCTTTTTATTTTTGTAACCTTCTTTTCACTTCCAGAAACCTATAGTCATAATATCAGAAGGAGAAAATGTTACCAAGGAGAGATTAAACCATAGAACTATCGGAATGATAATAGCAACAACAAGAAATAAATATTTACGCCTTCCCATGCTCCCTTACTCGTTGCTGGAGTTATACAAACGTAACTTAGATGATCTTACATCTCATTGACTACTATTATTATTAACTTTGCAACGTGCTCACTTATTTCTTGCCTTTCTATCCCATTTTACTTTCCAACAAACACCCATACCAAACTACTCTGCACTCCACTACAGTAAAATCCCTTCAAACTCTCTCTACACTGTACTGTATCAACCCACCATTGATGTGCAACACCACGTAAAAAAATGGGTCGGAAATTTGATCCTTCATAGTTTTTCCAGGAAAATTCACGACCAACACATTCATCTCTATGGGAAAAGCTCCACTGCATAGTTCACCGCATCTATCCATAGGAGTACAATGTGCAGGATCGGGCAGTAATCGATTACACTCCTCACAAAAAAGAATGACAGGTCAACAAAGATGAGTTTTCAATCTCGGGCCATGATAGCCGTGATGAATAATTATCTTTTATTGTAACATAATTATACTTGCTTTGCAGAGGGAATGCACACGAATTGGATATGTTGATAAGCAATATTAATAATTGACATAAATGCCTCCGATCACCACAAATATATCTATATTCATCATTTCTCCATTGCTTGCATGATTGCTATTCTCCAAACCAAGTGGTCCTATATAGGTTCAAATAGCCAACATTTCAGACAGAAATGACAATAGAACAATTCAATATTTCTCTTTGGAAGTCTGCAAGTTCGAACGTTTCGATCGTTATCCAACAACGATTATTCAATCGTTTTCCTTCATTCCACAATGTGATCGTTGAAAAATAGATCCCAAAATTCCGTGTTTCGGATTTAGCTTTGAAACACGAATTCCAAAATTTGCCGATGCGATTTTTGAGGAAATGACTGCCTATTGATCATTATAAAGGAAATTGTATTTCAATACTTACTATCCAGTTGTTTTGAATACCTTATTTATAAATGTCCCCATGTTTATGTAGTCAAAGACTTGGTTCCGTTTTGGACTACCCGCTTACTGGTACGTCAGTACTGGTTGATATTTCATGTGTAGGTCCTCTCGAATATGCGAGTATAATAGAACAATATCATTCTGTTCTCAAAGAAGCATATGAAGCGAATATGAAGCTATATACAATTTCTGATATAAGCCCTGAAGTAAAGGCAGTAAGGATGAAGAAAAGTGTGTTTATGTTAGGCATTTTCGAGCAAGAATGATAAGGAAAGTCAGTTGCAGGCCGTTAAATCTTTGGAACCTAGCATTCTTATTATCAATAGAGCATGTACTTTTAAACAGCCTTTGTGTAGCATTTGTCGAATGTGTTGTAATTGAAGGTCAAGGTGTCATCGAACTCATTAAAATACTTTTGTCTGGCAACGACATTGAATCAAACCCGGAAGCCGTTTTTACTCTCCTTGCCTTTCTCTACTGTTGTGTCCAGTTTGACTCCATAAAAGTATTTCCGCTCTTTTATATCATCCACCCCAGCTCTCCGTTCCCCTCATCCAAAACATCCTGTTTTTTTATCGCCGTTGTTCCACCGCCATCATCGACATTCATTCCCAAGTGTACTCCTCTCTCTTGTTGACTCAGTCATTCAGCCTCTCCGACGCAGACAGTCGTCAGCTCTCTTCCTTCCTCGCGGAATACCAGCCCATGCAGCAAGAGCTGCTCACCCAATTAACCAACTATCTCAACGAAAGCCAAGCCAAATCAAAGTCGCAATCGCAGCCTTCTGGGTCTGTTTCCGAGGTATTTCCGATGAGGAATTGCGAGTAGAATCACGCTGCTGTACGGCTTCTTCGCGATATCTGCAACGCATTGATCGGGTTTTTAGGAGAGGATGGCGAAATGGAGGAAGAGCCGAGAACGAAGTATCTGCTATGTTTAACGGGACTGCTGATCCTTCTGGACTCTCTTATTCCGTGCGGCGTGTTTGTAAAGGAGAGCGGAGTACAGATTGTGCGAGCAGTGGAGGTGTGTGTACAAACGAAGAACGAGAAGGCGAAGGAATGCTTGTCGATTCTGCGGTACAGCAGCAAGACATTTGCACTGCCGACGTGGGGAAAGGGGAGAGGAGAGTAAGGCGTAGAACGATGAGGAAGGTGCGGAAGATGATTGTAAATGCAACTGATTAGGATTGTTTGTTTGAACTATGGATGAAATGGGGAAGGTTTTGTGTAGGTGGAAAGATGGATGGTTGGATTGTCTTGATGTGTGTGAGATTGAGTAGGGGAGATAAGTGTGTCACACAGGGTGAAATGATTAGAAATAATGGGTTGATAGAGTGAGTGTGGTTTAGCATCAGTTTGTGTAACGTTTGGTAATGGAGCATCGATTTGGATTTGTCGTCAAAAGAATTATAATATTGTAATATTTGAAAAGCAAGTGCTTCTTACTTTCATACCCATTTATTCTGGGTAATTTTGATCATATTATACTCTCATTCATGCTTCACAACAGTCGATTGCTTAGTGAACGATTCATATGTGAAATAGAAGTGTTTGTACTCCTCAGGGCACACTCATGATTGTTCAATATGGAATGAAAATACCATTCGTTAGGGGGTGATAACGAAATTCTTTAGCAACTAAGTAATTATAGATATCATATGGAAAATATTATGAATTGTTTGATATAAACAAACGATATTAATGAAATACCGTTAGCTACATATCATGAACCTTTTCGATACATCATAATAAGTAATGGCAGTCATCAACATCAAGATCTTTTATCATTAATATTGACAAGATCAGCGAGAATAGGAGAAACATCTATACCCAAAAGCCTATTATTCGATTAATACTCGTAATTGATTTTGACTGAACTCTCCAGAATGAACAAGGTAGTTTGACATTTTGAAGATTTGGTATATCTAAATAGATTCAATAATTATAATACGAGATACTTTCTAATGTTACTGAGCTAGGATAACGGAAACTCTTATGTTTAGAAGTGATGGATGTTAGATTTGGAAGATCTGTATGCAATAATTCAAATCATTTCATTATTACTGCGCATTATCAATGAGCATGAAGTCACATTTGATCCATATAGTGCACCATAACCGAGTTGAATGGATTGTAATGATGGAAGATCTACATCAATCATTTCATTTGAATTCATTCAATACTTTCAATTATTGTTGTTACAGAAGCAGCGAATGCACGATCACCTAATGTAATGGATTGTAGATTTGGAAGATCTATGCATCATTCAAATATTTAATATCATATCAATACCTCGAATCACAAACGAACTAAAACAGAAATTGTATGAATCATTTCCAATTGTGCCAATTTGAATGGATTGTAATTGTGGTAGATTCTTCAATTCAAAGTCGCCTCCAAAATCACTGAAACTTAATTTTCCAATTTGAATGGATTCCAATGATCCACAATTCAATATGTGGAATGACTTTGACTTATCATATCCATACCCATTCCTTTTCTGCGTAAATGAATTGCTTCCGATTTTGATAGTTTTCAATAGATTCAATCCATCGATTCTGAACTCAGAAGCAAATGGGAAACACTCATCATATATGTCTATGGTTTCAGTATCATTTAATGGGCGGGTATATGCAACCCCTTTTTTGTTTGTTTCGTTTCTTAAATTTGAATAATTGGTTTGGCTGTGATGACGGCATGAACTTGTTTCATTCCTAACTGATAAATATATGATGAAAGCACAACCAGGTATAGATAATATGCCTCCATAAACTAGTGGTCCAATACAAATAATAAAAATAAAGACAATACTTATTAATTGATCACATATATACCATGAAAGATATCCGGCTAACATAAGAGATATAATATACAATATAGCGACGAAATAACTATGTTTTATTATGCATCCATTGTGCCAATAACATCTATAATCAACTCGCATATTCCTATACACGAGTCCCATTCCATGACGTTTTCCTTTGTAATAATTCCCGTGAAACGACAGTGTTTGCCCATCAGCTTCATATTCTTTTCCTTCTCCTTCATAAAAGTAATCATGTTCAAATGAATCACGATAACAACCTTCATAACAGCGAACTCCATTATTGTATTCAATCATTTTATTTCCTATGAATTGTTTGATTACATTTGTTTCTCTTCCTTCCTCGCATTCACTAATTCGAGTTATAACTCCATTTTTATCATAAAAATAACACTTTCCATTTAATTGTCCATAATTATCTCGTTGACTAATATTGATTATCTTGCTGTTATCATCATATTCTATCCAATATCGTTTGCTGCTGTCCAAAGGGTATATATTTCGTTTTTCTCCTTTTTCATAAAACCCATCAAACACTAAATTACCATTTTCATCATATTCTGTACCTCGTCCATGTCTATATCCATTTTCCATATATCCTTTAAAATAGAGAATACCAAGTTCATCATAGAGTTTGCAATAACCACAAGCTACCCCATCTACATATACAAGTGTGGCTATTCTAATTCCGTCAGGTGATCTTATTATGGCTTTTCCATTTATCTTGTTGTTTATGACTGACGTTTCAATAGTATATCCTTCATGAGGCGGACCCACTTCAACAATTGCCTTTCTAGACGCTTCATGAATACTTTTAATTGGAAATTGATCTGAAACGTTATATGTCCAACATTCGCAACGTTTGTTTTCACAAGCTTTATCGACTTGAATTGCTTGAAGTTCAATTGCACCTGAATTCATTATTTTTTATAAACTACAATGAGAATTGATACTAATTTAATGAAATAATTATTTGTTAAATTCGTTCTGGGTAAATAAGGCTCATAATTGTTTGTATGTGCCAATATCATTAAATACAAATAACCCATATTCATTCTTCTTAGTAATTATAGAGAGTTGTCACTACTGACAATATAATGGTGTATAATAACTCAATTAAGCATACACATATTACAGCGTTAATTCATCATTATACAACACTAATTTGACATAATATGATATATAGGTAATTAATAATACTTGTAAGTGTATTTGTATTGAGTCATATAGTGTGCATCCATTCTATCTGATTTCGATGGAAAAGATTGCTGATTTTGTCAATTCTGCTATTAGTATCTATCATATTGATAGTTTTGATATCAAAAATGCGCACATATGCTTGGGTAAAGAAATGAAACTAAATGGCTGGATTTCACTCATATTGAGTAACAGAGAATGTGTAGTATTGCAATTCAATAATGGAGTATTCATGAATCAAGGATTTGTGTTGAGTGAGCAGAAAGTGTTGAAAGTGTTTGAAAAGCATCAATTTGGTGATATTTCATATAATGAAGAAAAAGCCATTGTAGTAGAAAAAGGAATCGTGGATTTGGATCATGGAAGTCGATTTGAAGGATTGGTATTGACAGAAAACAAATTGGGAATTCCATTTGGATATGGTGAAATGTATGATGATGATGGAATATTGGTGTACAAGGGCATAATGATCAATTGGAAACGATTTGGATATGGAACGAGTTATCATAATAATGGATGTATTGAATATGAAGGATATTGGTGTGATGATAATCGATTTGGAATTGGAAAAGTGTATGATCGATATGGTAAATTAGTAAATGAATGTGAATGGTACAATGGAATTGAAAGTGATATTGATGAAAAATATGAAGGCAATGGAAGCAAACCACTGAATATGGGAATGAAACATTTGAAACTGCTAGACAATTGTGTATTGGAAGATTGGGATGTTTCATTGTTGTATAATTTGGAATCAATCGAAATCGGGAATGATTGTTTTGAATCAGTGCAAACATTCGAAATCGACGGATTGAATCGATTGAAAACTATCAAAATCGGAAACAATTCATTTACTCAAATGAAATCATCTGTCTGGGATTATAAAAAGGCAAACAGCATATCGAAATCATTCCACATATTGAATTGTGAATCATTGGAATCCATTCAAATTGGTGAATATAGTTTCAGTGATTTTGCTGGAAACTTTGAATTGAATAATCTGCCCTCATTACAATCCATTACATTAGGTGAAGTAAAAAGTAATTCACGTAACTTCTTTTGGAGTTCATTTGTGATTCGAGGTATTGACATGATATTGAATATTTGAATGATGCATAGATCTTCCAAATCTACAATCCATTACCCTTGGCATTGATACTTTTTATGAATCTATAGCCACAATAATTGAAAGTATTGAATGAATTCGAATGAAATGATTGATATAGATCTTCCATCATTACAATCCATTCAACTCGGTGAATGCGCAATTTGTGGAAGAGATGAAGATGAATCATGTTCGCTGACAATGCGAAGTAATCGTGAAATGATTCGAAATGATTTGTTTTGTAGATCTTCCAAATCTAACATCTATTATCAATTCTGAAGGATATAGTTTCTATTACCATCGTGTACTGACATTGGAAAGTTGTCCTAACACTGAAATTTGATCGCATTTAGATATTCCAAATCTTCAAACTGTCGATCTATCTGATGACTGGGATGCTGTTCCATTCGAGTTAGTTCAATCGAAATCAATTTCGAGTATTGCTTGATTGATGTGATTTGATTCATAGATGTTTCACCTGTTCTCGCTAATCTTGTTCAGTAAAGCTGAGCGAGATTGTAGGTTTTTCGTATTGATTCATTTTTTGCTTTGCTTTTCTATTTGTTTGTTTGTTCAACCCTCTTTCTATAACATAATAAGCGACCATGCAAATGTTGAGTATTTGTAGCTTATGATTCTTCACTTAGTAAAGTGCTTGAAACAATATACTTTCTAGATTAAATATAATATGACATCTCTTTTTGGAAGATATGGAAATGATCTGATGTACCTAATACTGCATTTAAACTATCAGAAAGCAAGAGTATCACGAAAAATCCAATTTTCCATTCTCATGCATTGCACAAATCTATATACAGATTGCCGCCAAAAAAACGTTTCCTTATTTTTCTTTATTCTTTGTTGGTATCTCATGCTGGGAGACGATCTTAATTTCTTTTATGTATGTAACTAATTTACCAATCATAATTATAAGGTTATTGGTCGAAGTGACGATGAATGCGGATATTGCAAAAAAGAAAAGACAACACAGTACTTTTTGAATTTTCTATGAATCCAGATTATATTTACATGGAGAAGACTTTAGTCCTGAATCTTGTGAAGCACTTCTTTATTCCGGATGGAGGCGATGTGGCAGCCTGTTTTATCAAATCTGTGAAAAGCCACAGAACTGCATTCCACGAATGATTATCACTCTCGTTAATGACTTTGAGCCTTCTCGTTCTCAGAGGCATGTATGAATTTCATTTAATTGCAATTTTAGGTTATGAATCGATTTGAACGCTATCTTAAAGGTGAACTGTATTTAGAGAACGGGAAGCTAAAACCCGTTCACTCGTGTGTAAAACAAACTCCTCCCGACTATTCCACTTACCTCCAAGCGGCCACAACCCTTCTGGAGAGTTCGCTCCCCTCCTCTGCGCATCATCCCATCAAAGTGGGCCGAACCGTTCGCAACGGCGAGCTCCTCATTTACTCCCGCTTCCTCCTCGAGAACGCCTCCTTCCAACCCCACGCCGCCTCCATTCTCCGCTCCCTTCAGCAGCGAAACGCCCTCTTCGCCTCCATTTCCATCGACAATCAACACATCAATTTCCACACCGCGGTTTTCCCCAATCGCTCCTCCGGTTCTACGGTTTCCACGGTTTCCACGGAGACGAAGCCGCACGTGCTTCGGATGGAGCTGGTTCCCGCGGGGATGGACGCGGAGGTTCTGGCGCTGTACAACAAATATCAGAAGGAAACGTTCGACTCCGAGGAATCCTCCATGGACGATTTCCTCTGCTTCCTCGGACCCTCCAATATGCGACACGTTTCCCCGGTTTCCCCGGTTTCCCCAGTTTCTCCGGTTTCTCCAAATGAGGTAGAAACTCACATGACGGACAATGAATCCGACTCGGTTTCCCCAGTTTCCCCAGTTTCCCCAATTACCACCAATGCTCCTCCGTCCGAAACTCCCGAAACTCCCGATGAATCCGATGAATCCGAGACCTCTTCGGTTTCCCCGGTTTCCCCGGTTTCCCCGGTTTCCCCGGTTTCTCCCGGGGAGGGCACGTTTTGGTGGAAGTGGTACATCGACGACGCGTTGGTGGCGTTTTCGGTGCTGGACGTTTTGCCGGACACGGTGGTAGAAACGTGGAAACGGGTGAAACGTAGTCGGCGGTGTACTTCGTTTACGATCCTGCGCTGAAGGCGTTGTCGCTGGGAATCGTGTCGGCGCTGAAGGAGATCGAGTTGACGAAAATCGTGGGGATTTTTGGCGTTTTGGGTGAGGGATAGATGGGGAAAAGGGTCTATAGTTTGGGGCTATATATTCACGAGTGTCCCAAAATGAGGTATAAGGGGACATTCAAGCCGTCGTTTGTGTTGTGTCATGAATCGCGGAAATTTGTGGAGTTTAATCTGGCGAGGCCGTTCTTGGAGGAACATGCGATGCGATTAATTCCCAATGAGGACATCAAGGGGTTGTCTCAAGAGGAGAAGGAAGAGAAGATGCTGCTGGTGCTGATTTATGAAGAGCGGACGCTGATGACGTATAAGCAAGCGGTGGAGAAATATGGAGAAGTTGTGGAGAAGAAGCTGAAGGAGTATTTGCCGCTGCTGAGTCCGCCGCCACCATCGAGTGTGTTTATTATCACATTGGAGTGTATTGTTTGTGTTAGTCACGATCGAAGTGTGGCATGAGTGTTCCAACATGCTATTTTGGGCTGGTTCATTTATTTTTATATGCATCTACGAACTCCCAGGAATTCGATTTGATGATAAGTGATCGTTAGTCAACTCATTCCTTGATTGGTCACAACTCGTGAAAATCATTCGTATAACGATTACTACACATCGATTCCAAGCCCACTTTCACCCTAATCATACCAAGTCTAACCATTCCTTCCTTGTCTCCTTGCCCTTTCCTTTTGCAACAAACACTCCACATTTCATAACCATTACTCGTCGCACTCTCGTTGAACCTTGTGGTCAGTCCCACGTCTACCGATCATTTCCCTCCATCTTTTCCCACCAAACGTATCTGGCAGGGTTCTCAAAAATCTCGAGATCAAATCCCTCACCACTTGTATATATCCTTCTAGCTCATTCTACTCGTCACCCTGCTTCTCTTCGCACACTCGGTCCTGCTTCGTAATCATCATCATGTATACGCGATCTCCAATTTTCGTTACTCGAATCCGCACAACCGACACGAACTCCACGACCTTCATCGCAATCGTAAACTATACATAAGCATCATCATCATCATCATCATCCAGATCTTCCTACCATCCCGTTCGTTTTATCCGCCGTAACGCTCCAATTGTGCTCTTTACACGCATCCAGTACTTCCTCATAAATCCGAGCTGGACTCGACATCGTCAGCAATGCGTTGCACGGCAGCGGCGGACTCAGCAGCGACGTAATCGGACTAATGGAGCACTGAATCGCCGTCCGCAGCAGCGAGAACACGCTATCTCCCTACAAAATACCCCCGATTTCTGGAATTACCTGCACCGAAAACGCCGCCGCGCGCTTTTGCTCCGCCGTCTGCGCGATCCCCGCGGTTAACGCGGGCGTTTCCTTCTCCACAGGCTCGGCCTTGGCGGGTTCCGCGGGTTCTGCCGCCAAATCATTCCCGCGGTACCATGGATGTTGCTTGATCTGCATGTGAGGAGATAACCGCGGTGAGGACTTCGGCGAGGGAAATGCGCGCTGTGGGGTCCGGGACGAAGATTTTCGCGATTAAATCGCGCAGTTCGCGGCTGAAGAATCTGCGCGTGATGTGCAGAAAAACCGCGGGATACGGCGGACAAGTGTAGTCGGCGTTTTGGATGCGTCGAAAGAGCGTGGAGAGCGAGGGCTCGTCGAAGGGAAGATAGCCGGCGACCATCACGAATCTACCGATGAGCCAATCAGATCACGCGCCGGGCCGAAGGACCGGTTTGGGACCCACAGGACCACGCCGCAGCTCCAAATGTCGCTGAAGCGCCCGTCGTAACCGCTGTCTTTCAGCACCTCCGGGGCGACGTAGTTTGGAGACCCACACGTTGTGTGCTGCAGCGAGTTCGTGTCTATCGTGGAAATAGGGAAACGTGGAAACCGTAGGTGTCGCCACCGACGAAGGCGGAGAGGCCGAAGTCGGAGATTTTGATGTTGCCGTTCTTGTCGAGAAGCAGGTTCTCCGGCTTGATATCACGATGACAAATGTTGTGGCTGTGGATGTAGCTGACTCCCTCGATGAGCTGGCGGAAAAACTTGCGCGATTCATCTTCTTGGAGACGTCCGTTTTTGAGGATGTAGTCGAAGAGTTCGCCGTTGGGAACGTATTCGATTACGATAAAGATCTGAGGGGAGAACGAGAACATGATCATGCGATACTTTGGATTTGCAGCCGAGGACTTCGATGAGGTTTACGAGGTTTGGGTGCTTCAGTTTGTTCATAATACTTATTTCGAGCTTGATTTGTTCTGATAAATTCTGCTTCTTGATTTTTTCTTTATCAAATATTTTGATTGCTACCATTTCTCCTGTAGCTGTGTTCTCGGCTAGTTTCACTCTACTCTGTACCATTTCCATTCCATCACCCCTACTTCCCTAAAGATCCCTCTCCCAGTGTTCTTTGCAATATATACTTTCCAACGCGATGGGCCATGAAAAGGGCTGCTTCTTGGGTTTGCTATGAATACAAAAAAATATCCCTATTTTTGTATTCTAATATTTCATTATTTATATTATTCTTTCTTCTCATAAACAAACATTAAAATTCTTTAGTTCGTTACCATTTTAGAGACCAATCCACTGTCCACGACCATTCACGTTGTGGATTTGGGTTTGGATCGGAGAAACGACTGCCCATTCATACCACACGCGCTTCTTGTCTGTTCGTCTCCATAAATTCACCACGACACGCTCTCCTTTATGGACATAACTAGAACCATCCAAAAACATACAATAGCCTACAAGGGTGTATCGATGGGAATAAACAGAGGGAACCAACTTACCAAATTCATCGAATGGCTCTCTGGAGCAATCGAAAGCTTTACATGGTCCGAGAGCTACACATCGATCCCAGCATGAACAATCTCACATCACTTTCAAAGTATCCCGAGAATCCGTGCACGATTCCATCCATCTGTACATGTAATATGACTTGCTAGCCATGATGGTTCATTTTCACACCTACCTTGAAGCATCGGAAATCGCCATTTCGCTGGTCTGGATGGTGGAATGTGAAAACGGGCTGCACATCACTTAGCAACGCAGCAGCGTGGATCTTCACCACGTAGGTAGCCTCGAGTGGTTTGGAAACGAGGAGTGGACTGACTTTTCGGATCTATTGAATCAGCCAATCAAAACTCAAAGAAAAAACAACATTTTCGTAAATCTTTGTCGACATACAGCAAGCCATCAAGCTCGTGGAATTGTGTGGAACAAACAAGCCTCCAGCCAACAAAAAGCGCTGAGCGCCGATCAGACACTCAGGGCTCAGCTCGTTATCCGCAAACGAGCCTAACAACTCCGAAAGAATGACATCGCTGTAGTATTCCGGCTGATAAAGCCGCATGTCCGCTTCCACGATGTGCACTCTCTCGCCCCATTGCAGCTGTTTGTGCATCGCTCTCAGCGTCTGAATGGCGTTCGGGTTTTTCTCGATCGCGTAGACGACGATTTCTCGCCTCGTTCGCTTCGCAGCGTTCAGAGAACACACGATCAGCGGTCCTCGTCCCGCTCCGACGAGCGTGATCACGATTCGAGCTGCGAATGAAAGGGAAAGAGAAGAGAAAACGTTCGATCGGGATGGAAGGATGCAAGAGCTCGCCATTCAATGAGTTTAATGAGTTCAAGTCAATGGGTGATTTCCTTTCATTCAATGAGTTTAATGAGTTCAATGAGTTCATTTCATTCATTTGGTTCATTTCATTCATTTGGTTCATTTCGACTGTTGATTTCATTTCATTCAATGGGTTCAATTCAATGGTTGCTTTCGTTTCGTTCATTTCAATACTCGCTGCTTTTGATTCATTCGATAATCCAATCGATGGAAGCAGCGTTCGATCCGCTGCGTACCTCGCTCGATTATCCTTCGGACCTCGCTGATACGACGCCAACACCTCCACCAACGCCTCCTCATACTATTCCTCACTCCCTCTCCACGCTCTCTACGAAATAGTATTTCATCCGGTCCTTTTCGAACACGTCGTACGTCGCGTTCTGCAAATTGTCCATCAAAGGCTGAAGCGGAATCTGAACCACTTCGTTGTACTCGAACAGCTGCTCGCCGAACGCGTCCAACCCCGGAGCGTCGCTGAACAGCTTCTGGAGATACTGAAAAACACAAAAACACAAAAACACAAACATTCATGATTACTTTCAATCCACGACATTCTTCGGGAATCGGGCCTTCGATCGCTATTCGAAGCGGCTTTGTGTACTTGTACCAAATCAAAAAGTCTTCGCACCATTTCGGGAGTTTCACTAATGTCTACACAATCATTAAAAAAAATATGGAGGGAGAACCTCCGATTGCCAAGAAAAGAGAGAAATGGGGAGCAGAATCGTGTGAAGTGATTCCGCTTCCCATCGATGAAGAACATCGGGATCAATGTCGCAATTGGTGAGACGAAGACAAGGCTGGACAGCAGGTGAAAAATCGAGTTGTTTATGGAAGAAACTCCACGTCCTCCACGTGGAAGAAGCTATGAACATGAGAGTGTATGTGTGTGAAACAAACGATCAGGAGATAACGGGTCTTGAATGTCGACGGGGATCCAATACTAAAAATAGTGAGATCAATTCGAAAAGAGGTACAGGCATTGCATATTTACGATCGATGAACTGAGCTAGAAGGGAAGCGTAGTTTGCGTTGCTCTCTGGGTTCAGCTCGGGACAGAGAATCGAGGGAACACCTAGATAGTTTGCCCACTCGATTTCACGAATGAATTGCTATGGTGAACGAAATAGGAAGGAAAGTACATCTTCACTTGTTAAACGAACAGAAGAGTCGTTTGAATCCAAAGAGATCGAATTGGATACTTGACCCACGATTCGATTTGTCCACAGTTTGATATCCAGAATCACGTTTGATTCTATCATACTTAATAATACAATCTAGAGCATACCAGTTCCTTGGAACACCAAATCACACTGTCCCTGTTGAGTTTGTCTAAAACGTAAGAACGCTTCGAACCAAATAGAACCGTACAATTTACGAACCAGTGGGACGATCACAAAATCAGCACTTTCCGGAATATTCTTCCCGTGATCAAACTCCCCCAAAGCTCACCATTTCAAGATATTCCTTCAAATCATCCACAGGATACGCCTTTCTTCCATAGAAAAAGTACTTTGCCATTGTCTAACAAACAAGCAAACAAATCCATGAATGTTCTTTGCAGTTTCCCCTCTAATGCGCTTCCGCCACATCGACATAATCCTTATACCGGCAATTCTGCATCTCTCACTCTCTCTCTTCCGCCCTACCTCACACGTCTCCGGCGATGTCAGCATCACGCCATCAATCACCGGATAGAGTTTTCGAATCGACGGCGTCACGGGCTGGAAATGCTGCATAGCACCCTCTCCTCACAACCCACCAAATACTTCTTCACCTTTCGCAGATCCTCGTCGGTGCAGTTTCGGAATCTTCGCTGAATTCCACAAAAAAACGCCCACAACAAAAACAATTTCATTGAATACAACGCGTCGATCTCCGGATTGTGCGCGCCGCTCTGCCTCTCATTCCCTCTCCGCTGCTCTACTTGAATATCCACGCCGGTGAGGTACAAAACCTCGTGGCGCAGCGATTTCACCACCGCTTTCTTCGCTTCTCTGCGATTTTGGCGGGCTGGCGAAGACTCCTCCGCCTCGTATTTAAACCAGTGCTGGATGTCGATCGCTTTCGCGAAGTCCACGCCCTTCTGGAAGCCCATCCAGTTGATATCTGCGTGGAAAAGGGGAAACGGAGATACCATGACCGATGCCTTGGCCGACTAAAATGCAATCGGAAGGCAGAATTCGCTTGATTTGCGCTTTGCACGATTCGAGAGAGGGCGCGTTTTCTAAATCGGCTTTTCTAGAATGGAGAAACGTGGAAAGAGGGAACTGGATTCCAGTGAGAGGGGTCAGATAGGAAACAATGGGGACAGAAGGCTTGACGAAGGAGGAGTAGATGACTTCGCACATGGAGTTGACGATCGCGATGCGAGCTACTTCGCGATCGCAGTGGCGATTCCCCGATGCCACACATTCCACGTCAATGCTGTAAACATTAAGCTTTTCTATTTGTCAGGTATGCATCGCTTGATCACTTAGAGCCTCCTGATCACTCAGAGGAAGGAAAGATGGTTCAAAATCTAGGAACCAAACAAACAGGGAACCAAACTGACTTGCTGGAAAGTAAACCTGGTAAAACGCACAGTCGATTCCTTTCCAGTCTTTTTGTTCGTTTTTGTTGTCACTTCATGATTACTAGTCATGATCAGAGGAACTGAGTCGATTCCACGATGCAACTCATAGAACCTTAATCCAGGGTTGGTATTTCCTACATAATAACCAAAAACAGGAATATAGGGAAGGTCCATTCCGTAGTATTTGGAGGATTCCGGAATAAACTCAGAAACATTGGGATTAAGTTTACTCATGAGTGATTTACAGAATTTGATAAAACGACTCAATGTTAAACTTTTTTTTGACTTTGGCTAAAAATGAAGTCCCGATATAAGGCTGCAAAGGGAACTCGTTACAGCTATGAAGATAGTTACGACGATGCTGATATTATGTTTTCCTATGATGACTCGTATTCCGAATCTCAGCGTATGCTATTGGCTTGTGGTGCTGCTAACGTTGTAGGCGATCATTTAATGAACCCGAGTAAGAACACGATTTGTAGGACGAATTACGATCTTGTTTTTTCTAGCTATCAATCTTGGTAGTGAAATACCTGATGATGATAACGGTTTTTTCGATTCCTCGCTGGTAACTATGTAGATTTGCTGAACGATTGTTTGGACCAAATCGACTATTTCTTCGACGGCAAAGCGCAATACGACGAAGACTTCATCGTGGATCTTCTGCGTTCGAACAATTACGACGTGGAAGAGGCGATCAACTACATCACCGAGAACGAATGCTCCAAACCCGTTCACGAAAAGATCCAAATCCCCAAGGTCTCATCTCCCGTGGTCCTCTCGCTTCACACGCCTCCTGCCTCCTCGACCCCTCCTCCCAACATCAATAGCAACAACAAAAGCAATAACAATGGCAATGGCAAAACGACGAAGGTACGCAGACCCTTTTTCTCTTCAAAACCCAGCCATCCACCCACCAACCCACTAGTCAATCTACTAGTCAATCCACTAGTCAGCTTACTAGTCAATTGAATAGTCAATTGAATAGTCAATTGAATAGTCAACCCACTAGTCAATCTACTAGTCAATCCACTAGTCAGTCTACTAGTCAATCTACTAGTCAATTGAATAGTCAATCTGCTAGTCAGTCTACTAGTCAATCTACTAGTCAACCTACTAGTCAATCTACTAGTCAATCTACTAGTCAATCTACTAGTCAATCTACTACCCATCCCTCTTCTTCCTCCCTCACCGTACTTCCTTCCACCCCGCCTTCTACCCCCCAGCCGCCTCCCGCCTCCACGCTCGCCTGCGCCATCGCCTCCCTTCCCTCCGCGCCTCCCTCCACCGCTCCTCGCCCTGCTCCCTCCGACCGCCTCTACTCGCTCCACTCCGACGTTCTCCACGGTATCTTTGTTCTTTCCTCCCTCGATTCCACGCAGACGCCTCGCTTTTTCTCTTCGACCGGCCCTCGCCCGACGACCTCGTCGCCTCCATGCAGGCCGCGGGGAAGCTCCGCACCCAGCAGCACCAGCGCGCGCCCATCGACGTTTCCACCATTTCCACCTTTCTCCTAGTTCCCGCTCCCCGCAAAGTCCCTCGCAGAACCCTCCCGTCTCCCCGCGGGACACCAGGAAGCCCATGAAACGCCTCGCAGTCCCGCGGAAATCGCCGACATCGCGGAAATCGCGGGGATCTCCATCTCGAAGCCGGAAACGCCGCGCAGTCCCGCGGAAATCGGCGAGGAATTCCGGTCGAAGCCGATTACCCCGCGGGAAAATTCTCCGAAGCCCCGCGGGAAAACCCCGCGGAAATCGCCGCGGTCGCCGACGGAGGGCGCGTCGAAAAGTGGAAACCGAGGTTCGGAGAGCGTGGAACCGGAGGTGGTTCGGAGCGTAGTGTGTTCCGCGGGGATTTCGTGTAGCCTCCCGCGCTGGTAGAAGGGAAGGAAACGGTGACGGTGTTAATCGCGGGACACGTGGACCACGGGAAATCGACGATAACGGGGCACTTGTTAGTGGAGTGTAACGTGGTGAGCGAGCGCGAAATGCGGAAGTGGGTCGAATGGGAGGACGGTGAGGCGCAGAGCGACGAAGGAAGCGAAAGAACTGGGGAAACAGTCGTTCAATTACGCGTTTTTGATGGACCAGAACCCCGAGGAGGTGGGATCCCCTGTTTTTGAAAGTGAGGCGTAGCGCACACACGGCGTGACGATCCATCTGGGCGCGATCTCGCTGCAGACCGAGGAGCGGTGCGTGACGCTGCTCGACGCGCCCGGTCATCGCGATTTTGTGGCGGCGATGATCGCGGGAGGACTGCGCGCAGACGCGGGGATTCTCGTGATTTCTGCGCAGAAAGGAGAGTTCGAGGCGGGATGGTCAACCGCGGGAATCACGAAGGAACACTTGCTGATCATGGTGGGGAGCGGGATCGAAACGCTCGCCATTCTAGTCAACAAAATGGACACCGTACACTTTTCGAAACTGGTGCGGAATTAGTGCGGATATGAGGAAGCTCGCTTTCTGGAGATCCAAAACACGGTCATTCCGTATCTCAAGCATCTCGGATTTAAACGCAAAAACGTTACCTTCATCCCTACTTCTGGCTTGGAGGGCGTCAATCTTTCCACCGTGGATTCCAAAAAAACGCCCTGGTTTACCGGGCCGTCGCTCATTCACTTCCTAAGTCCATTTTTTCCCCCTTTTTTTTCTAACGCGCAGACTCACTCAGCAGAACAATGGTGGATTCCGACGTGGCCAACACCAAGGAAGTCGTTATGACCGTGCATGATGTTTACCGCGGGGATATGATGGGAGACTGCATCGCCGCACACGTCGCCCGCGGATTCCTCGATTCCCGCGATTTAAAGCCACTCATCCTGCTCCCAGCGAAACTCCCGCTCACCGTGAAGTGTAAAAATCGGGAGGATTTTTGGAATAGCGTTCCTGGTGAATAACCACAAAGCCACCGTCGCTTCCGCGGGAAATAACGTCGTTTTGATAACCGCGGGAATCGATTTGGCGTCAGTGAGGTAGAACCGAATCGAAATTGAAACGCTAGCCGCGGGAATGTGATCACAACGACCACGTGTCCGATGAAACCGTCGAACCGAATAATCGCCCAGATTTTTGTCAACAAAGAAGCGGACGTATTTCTGGAATTCCAAAAATAGGGGGTAGATGCCAATCATGAAGGGATTAACGGTTTTGCTGCATTTGGATGGGAATGTGGTATCCGCGGTTATCCAGCACGTCTTGGCGCAGGTCGATTTCGCGGGGAATGTGCAGAAAGCGAAGCCGAAGTGGAGAATTGATCGGGTTTTGAGGGGTAGAGTGGTGTATGGAGGACAATGGGCGTCGGTGGAATTGGCGCTGGATCGGGAAGTGTTTGTGGCGGATTTCAAGAGCATTCCCGCGATGTCTCGGTTTATCATGCAAGACAAGGGCGTGACGATGGGGATTGGACGAGTGACGGAAGTGAAGAAGTCGAAATTCCACCGAGTTTGGAGTGTTTGTTTGAATAAAGAATACGATGAATGAATGAATGAATGAATGAATGAATGAATGAATGAATGAATGAATGAATGAATGAATGAATCAGAGTGTAATGTGTTGATAGGATGGAGAACATAAGCAATGAAAATAATTCGAGATAAAACAGCCAACACAACACACACTTCACTCCACTAAAAGTATGAAGTAGAAATAAGAGTCGTTGATGGTATTAAATAAAGCTTTATTTGGAAATAACTATGACTAACAAAATCATAATCGATAATCCTTTTGTTTCACAAAACACTCTTTTCTCATATGGTTAATTTCCCGTATAACAATTTCCCATTATCAGTTGTTTTGTATTATAATATTTACATCAATCTTATCGTAATACAATGAAATAATGTATTACTTGTCTCGAAATTCAATCCTCTTGATATTAAATTTACTATCCATTTTTACTGCTAATTAATGTACTTCTATTCAATATACACAAAACAAATGAACATATCGAATTCCACTCACATTTCACTTTAATACACGTTCTATATGATTACTTTAGTTATAATCTCGTGTATTATTAAATCGATTCAATTGATAATATGAATTCAATTACTCTATATCTCGTAATGTGTCATATACAACATATCCCTACAAAGAATACTTACTAAGAATCGATTATTTCGTTTTAGCAGGTTCTTATTTGATCGATTTTGCGTTTCATTCTACACACAAAATTCAGTGAGGATCGGAGCAAGTAAACCTAACCAATCTGAGTTGCAATAACGGAATAAATACATCGATGAATGAATGATATCCCAAAAAGCAAAGAATGATAGCAAGAGCTGTGGAACAAACATAAAAAGTGAACATTAAATGCATAATAATCATTGAATGGAAGAAAATGTGTAGATCCAATCCTGCAATTACTGATGGATTGGGTTTTATAAAATACTACAACATGACTTTGTTTGTATGACATAGGATTGCGTGACTTGGACAAGATCAGAAAGAATGGAAGAAATATCTTTGAATGAAATCAAATCAATTATACAACACTCGAAATTGATTTCGATTGAACATACTTGAATGAATTAGGAAGAGAGACATCTTTAAGATTTGGGATTTCTATATATTACTAATTAATAAACATAGGACTACTTTTCAATGTAACTACTCTAGGAAGAGAAAAACTGCTATTTTCAGATTTAATGGATGTTAGATGTGGAAGATCTACAAAGCAAATCATAACCAATCAATTCATTCATACTTCGCATTACCAAGGAACATGAATCATCGCATGCACTTCCTTCGAGTGCACATGTACCGAGTTGAATGGATTGTAATGATGGAAGATCTATATCAATCATTTCATTCGAATTCATTCAATACTTTCAATTATTGTTGATAAGGAATAATTGAATGCAAGATCACCTAATGTAATGGATTGTAGATTTGGAAGATCTATGCATCATTCAAATATTCAATATCATATCAATACCTCGAATCACAAATGAACTAAAAAAGAAATTGTCTGACCAACTTCCAATTGTACCAATTTGAATAGATTGTAATTGTGGTAGATTCTTCAATTCAAAGTCGCCTCCAAAATTTTTGAAACTAGATTCACCAATTTGAATGGATTCCAATGATTCACAATTCAATATGTGGAACGATTTCGATTTATCATTTCCAAAACTATCAATCTGCGTAAATGACTTGTTTCCGATTTTGATAGTTTTCAATCGATTCAATCCATCGATTTCGAATGTTTTCACTAATTCAAAGCATTCATCGCCAATTTCGATTGATTCCAAATTATACAACAATGAAACATCCCAATCTTCCAATACACAATTGTTAGTCAGTTTCAAATGATTCATTCCCATATTCAGTGGCTTGCTTCCATCGCCTTCATATTTTTCATCATCAATATCACATTCAATTCCATTATACCAGAAACATTCAATCATAAGTCTTTCTTTGCGATCATACATTTTTCCAATTCCAAATCGATTATCATCACACCAATATCCTTCATATTCAATACATCCATTATTATGATAACTCGTTCCATATCCAAATCGTTTCCAATTGATCATTATACCCTTGTACACCAATATTCCATCATCATCATACATTTCACCATATCCAAATGGAATTCCTATTTTACCTTCTTTATTAGTCAATATCAAGCCTTCAAATCGACTTCCATGATCCAAATCCACTATTCCTTTTTCCACAATGGTCTCTTCTTCACTATATGAAATATCACCGATTTGATGATTTCCAAACACTTTCAACACTTTCTGCTCATTGACCAGAAATCCTTGATTCATGTATGCTTCATTATCGAAATGCAATACTACACATTCTCTATTACTCAATATGAGTGAAATCCAGCCATTTGGATTCATTTCTTTACCCAAGCATCCCTGCACATTTTGAATATTAGAACTATCGATATGATAGTTACTAATAACAGAATTGACAAAATCAACAAACTCTTGCATCGATATGTGAATATCACGAAATCCGTTTCTAGCCAAATTATGTCAATATATATTCACAGAATATAAGCACTATTATTATTGTTTTAAATAACAGGTTTTTATTGTGAATGGTTATTGTGTCGTAATGAGATTGGCTTCAATAGTCTGATACCTCCTAATAATACTTTATCTAGCTTATAAAATGAACGCAAAGGCAACTAAAATACGAAGATAAGACTAAGGTGGGCGTACTCTATTAATATCTGCGCAACATCGAATATATCGCTATATGCCAAAAAACACATTTGCTCGTGCAAAAATGATGCAAAATTATAGAATATGATGTATAAATAGGTTATTGAATAATAGTAAAATGAGAACGGCCATATCTGATGGAAAGCGCCCTAACCCGTCCGATCTAGGAAGCTAAGTCATCACGAGTCGAGTTAGTACCAGTGTGGGTGACTCGCTGAGAAGTCTCGATGCTGTTCTTTTACTCCAATGTTTTATTCTAATTCCTTTTTTTCCATTCTATTATGTTCTATTCCATTATTCACTTTTCCATTATTACACTCTATTCCTCTCCTCTCCACTCCTCTTTACTCCATTCTACATTTATTCATCCATTCTTACTGTTATTATTTTTTAGCAATAGCTATGTATTGACACGTTTTGCGCGAAAATAGGTTTTGGATATTTTCGATCAAAGTTTTTTTCAGATCGTGTTAACTGCGAGCTGGCCGCTCGAAGTTACCCCGCAGATATCATTTTCCATCTCTCGCCGTTACTCGCCTTGGACAACTTGTATTTTTTACCCTTCAAAAGAAATAAGGAGGGCAAATTTAACCTTTGCTTATTTTGTTCACCCCTTTTGTCTAAGGTAAAGAGAGGCAAACCATGCACTTCTCCATGCTCATCCAGGGATCACCGGGAAATTATTCATATACCTGGATCAACCCGTACAAGTATCGGAATCCCTACATCACTTCCATGACTGTTTTCTTCACACCCAATCCAGTTATGTTCAACAACGTGGATTCTATGAATGTGGTCACCAACTCGAATGACGAGGAGCTAACGATTCCTCCTGACTACTACACGATCGGTCAAATCATTGCCATCCTCAACACCATGACTGATACTACATTCTCGATATCTACGAAGGCTTCGAGTTATGGGTGTATTTATATCCAGTCCACACACCATCGATCTCACCAATGCTCCTGACATTCGAGAAATCCTCGGTTTGGAAGGACAAATGGTCATTCTACCCGCTTCGTTCTATGGATCGAACGTGATTGATATCACGCGAAATCGCCAAGTGATCCAAGTGTACTCGTTTCTCGTGCATTTCTCCGATCTGAAGATTGCCAACCAGAACAACAACCTGCTCACCACAATGATCATTGACGATCCCGAGGTTAATTATCTCCGCACCGTGGAAGACATCTGCATTCCGATGATAACCCGATTCGACGGATTGCTGTTTGTGTTCCGCGATATGGATGGTAATATCATGCGATTGAACGGCGAATTCGAACTCCAATTGACAATCGAAGATGTGATTGATCAAGTGCCTTCCTCAATTCTACCGATGAACCAGTTCTCCATGATGGAAGTGTTCGGTAATACTACGAAGAAGGAAGTGAAGCTGGACAATCCTCTGTGATTCGATCAATGTTCCATCTCATTTGTGTCACTCTATACCGATTTCGTGCTGCACAACGTCCCAACCGATCAAGTGGTATTAATCGATACGGGGACATCCCCACACGAGGTGTTAATACCCAGAGGAACTATACGACATCACAAATGGCATGAGTGTGATCCGAGTGTACAGTAGTATCAATGCTCAAACAATCGGTCTGAAGAGTCCGTTGATCGATAACCTGATTCATGTATCGATGGGACTAAACAACATGATCACCTGGAATAACCTATCAATCGATGTGATTGAACAATCGAACTTGGATTCCATTGATTGGGTACTGACAGATGCGAATGACCGTCCGATCTCCTTGAATTCGAATGTGTACATCTCATTCACGATATCTTGTAAGTACAACTTCAGTAAGGTATTCAAGAAGATAGATAGATAGATAGATAGATAGATAGATATCAATGTCTATCTTCTATATATATCTGAAAAGTAATAGTTTGATTGTTGCCTCCAACAAATAATCAGCCAGATATGTCTCACAGCTTGATATTGGACAACTACTCATTCCCATAGAGTCCATTCTTATGGATTTCAGCTTTATCATCAACAATACTGATATCACTATTAGTGAGTAATTCTATTCATCCTAATGAGTTGGGAACCAAAGCATTTCACTTTCATCAACCAACTCATACAGCAAGTATTATGTATACTATTGTTATTCATGCTCGTAATAGAACAACATTGTGAATCACTTTGTATCCCTATTGAAGTGGTGTACAATTCGATCCTTCCTTTAAATAGGAGATATTCTGCATTATTTGGCAGGTGGGGGATACTATATGGGTTAGAATAAGGGATAGTATTCTCTGGCAATATAACAAACTCTGATA